CCTCTGTGCCCTCCGCCCCAGGCGGGGAGCAGCCGTCGTCTACAGCCTTCATCCCTCTCATCTCCACCAGGGTGTCTCTGCGGAAGACCCGGCAGCCCCCGGAGAGGATCGCCAGCGGCACCATCACCAAAGGGGTGGTGCTGGAAAGCACGGAGGCTCTCCGGCTCGCCATCAGCAAGAACTCGGAACAAATGGCGAGCCACAGCACTGTCTTGGAGGCCGGCAAGAACCTCTACACCTTCTGTGTGAGCTACGTGGACTCCATTCAGCAGATGAGGAACAAATTTGCCTTTCGGGAGGCCATCAATAAGCTGGAGAACAACCTACGGGAGCTTCAGATCTGCCCAGCGACGGCTGGCAGTGGTCCTGCAGCCACCCAGGACTTTAGCAAACTTCTCAGTTCGGTGAAAGAAATCAGCGACATTGTTCAGAGGTAGCAGAAGCCAGGTTTAAAAAAACAAAACAAATAAATCACAGTGGGCCAAAGTCAACTGTTGAGAGAGTAACAGCGTGTGTGGACTGACAAAGGACTGGGGCGTTCAGGACAGGGCTGTGCAAAAGCCACAGGCTGTTTGCGGGTGCCCCAGCTCCAAAGAGCAGGGCTGTGCTCAAGAGGCACTTTCCACCCTCTTGGCCCAGATTCCCTGCGTTTCATTTACTCGTAATCGTCTTATCTGTGGAGTTCCTGCCTTGTGGACTACAAGTCTGAATGCTGATGTCACATCATGCCTTTTTATTAATATTTTATTGCTCTGGACGGACTGCTAAGACTGACGCCAGACTGATGGACACTGAGATGCCAGCCTCCTCGGGAGGACTTCCTACTGCATTTCCATGCCCTCCCTCTGCCCCGCTCCCAGGACTGGTGTTTGACTAGCAATATAACCATGGCGTGTCTCGGGAGAGTTGCAGCGTGTCCCCAAATCCAACATTTACCTGGCAGCAATGCAACACACCTGGAGCTTGGGGAGAGGAGGGGGGGGGAGTCCTTAATGTAACTTTTAAAAAGGCTACAAGTGATGTTTACCCAAATCCTTCCTCCGATTCCACCCGCTGCCCTCTGTATCTGTGTTTTCAGCATTTTCTGAACGTTGTTGAGCCCAGGTGAGTTGCTTGAGCTCCAACCTAGTGGCACGGGAGCCTGCCTGCAGGTCTCCCCGGCAGCGATATCGGACTGGAAAGGTCCAAAGAAGGACGTTGCTGCTGCCCTCTCGTTACACCCAGCGTTAATTGGGGTGGAGGGCTGCAGAGCAGGCCTGGGAGCAGTGGGCTGGTGCTGAGCAAGGCATCGCTCCGTCAGTGACGGGAGGGGATAGCTTAGGGTGAGTTCAGAGATACCACTGTGCCTCCAGCAGTTGCTTCAGTTGAGCTTGCGCATCGTGGATGGGCAAGAACTGCTGTTCCTCTAGGTGCATTTCCAGCCTTTTTTGTATGCTGTGAGCAGAGATGGGACCTGGCTTCTGCGCTCCTGTACAGCCCGGTGCTGCCCTTGCCAGCCCAGCGCCGGGTCCCCTCCAAGAGCTCAGCTGCCAGTGCTTAGGGGTTGAAACCATCGCTGCCTTCGTGCTTCGTTCCACCCAGCGGCGTACAAGGAGCTGTGAAGACTGCAGGCACCTCTCCTAGGGTAGGTCTCCCGAGGAAGCTGCCAGCAGGGCTCCTGGGCTTCCTTCCCAAGGTCCTGAAACCTTCCCGACTAACGCAGCACGACTGGGAACTAACTGTGACTCGTGACAATAGTGAAAGAACAAGGTTTAGGGCTATTAACAGTGCAATTTAACTCTTTAACAGTTCCAAACAAGAGAAAGAAAAAGAAAAAAAAAGGCATTTTCTCTGTCCTGTCCCCCTGTAACTCTTGTGGCCCCTCTTGTGTATCTGAAACACTAATTGCCTTCCATTGTATTTTATTCTGTTCTCTTGGGGACTGTTTGTTTTGTATATGATTTCCAGTAGTTCACTCTTGTGTGTTCACGCCACTTCTCGCCCTCACAGCCAGCCATGACTTAACACGTGACAAATGTTTAAAAGAAACTACACACTTCTGCCACAGGCTGCCTTTAAAATGTAAGGAAAAGAAAAAAAAAAAACAAAAAAAAAAACCTTGGACTGTCTCTTTCCTGGAGGTACTGTTTTTACTTTGATAACATATTGTGCCACTATATTATACATTTGTATCTCGTTATTACACACTTTTGTAGACTTGTCTTTTTTACAGTGTGTAAATAGCTCTGTCCTTCATCTCTGTGACACTTCGGGGGGTCGTTTCCCCCTTAACTCGGTCCGGTGCAGATGGTTTCTGTACGCGACTTCCAGTCCTGCCTCCTCTCTTTCCTCTCTTTTTCATTTTTTTTTTTTTTGATTTATTTTTTATTCCAGTTCTCTCTCGCGTAGTATATTTAAAAATAAATCAATGTTGAGGAAAACCCGTGTCTGTCTGTTAACAAATATTTTCAAACCCAGCTACCTCTGCTGGGAGCCCCCATCCCAAAAGAGTCGATCCCCCTCGGAGCAGGCAGCAGCAGCTTTCCACGCTCTTTGATCCAGCTCTGAAAAGTCAGGAGAGGAAAAAAAAAAGACGCAGGGAATAAACCAGGAGGCTCATCTGTGTCGGGCTGCTCCCGGGTCAGCCTGGAAAAGATGACAAGAAGCAGGAGGCTGCAGTTGGCAAGCGTAAATTACTCAATGATCTGCACTTGGCAAGGCTCAAACTTCCTCAGCCAGGTGGTGGTGGCTGATAAATGCGTGCTCAAAGCTGCAAGGGGCTCCTGGCTGGTTTGTGGCCGTGACCCATGGCAAAAATCAGTGCCCAAGCTGCTCTTCGTCTGCATCTCTGCCATAAAGACTGGTAGGTGGCAAATTTGGGGCTGGGGGAAGACGGTGAGGGGACCTGAGCACAACCGTCCTGGGGATCCCGACCCTGCTCTCAGGGGAGCAGTTTGGGACGGCAGAGGTCGGGGGTCCTGGCTGGGGAAAGCCCTGGGACGTGCGGGGTTGGGGGTGCAGGAGCAGGATTCAGGGCTAAATTTAGCGGCGTACAGTAGGAGTTGATTTAACAGATCGATGCATTTAACAGTTTGATTGCTCCAATTTTCAAGGCTATTGAGCTTGAAAGTGAGAGTGCTCTGGGGGAAGAATAGCTGTGTTTGTGTTTTTGTTTTGCTTTTTGTGTCTTTGAAATTACAATGTTCGCTCTTTTAAGTTTGCCTTTAATGTCATCCTGCTTTTTTTTTTCCGACGAGCTGCTTGTCATAAGATGGAAAACGTGGTCAGTGCTCTGCGCTCAACTCTTTTATCTCACCAGCTGAAGGAAGGCTGGCGGGGCCGGGATGCTGCAGGACAAGTGGCACTCAGGTGCACGGGGCTCTGCCCGCCCGGGGATGCTCTGGGGCCAGCCTCTGGGATGGAGCCCACGGATGGAAATGGGGCTGGGGTGCCCTCAGGGCTGTACCCAGCCCAGGGGAGGGTAATGGGGAGCTTCACAGGGGGCTGAGCACTCGCTCCCGTTCATTTCCATTCATTTTTACCCCTCCCAGGTCAAAGCTCCGGCTTTGACTTTTGGGTAAGTTGCAGGAAGGGTTTTGTGCCTCGCTCGGAGCCAGGCTGTGCACGGAGAGCTTTCATCCTGCTGCTCCCAGCCCCTTCCCCGTGACACCCAGCGCTGTAGGGCCGGGGCTCTGCTGGCTCCCAAAACCTCCCCTGACCCCCCCTTCAACAGCACCGGGTAAAATTGATCAGTGCGCCTTTATTGACCATTTGTACACTCCAAAGAAAGGGGGGGGGGGAGAAAAAAAAAAAAAGAAATGTTGCCATAGAAACACTGATAGAGCTCCCCCCCTCCTGGTCCAGCTCCCCACCTCCTGCGGGGGGTCCGGAGGAGCCGAGGAGAGCCTGGAAATTTTGGGGTTGGGGGCCGGGCTGGGCTCAGCACCCCCCTGTGCCAAACACCAGCACCGAACCGCGGTGTCCTCCACGTCCCCTGCAAGCCTGGAGTCCTCTGCAGCCCCCAGGGCAGCCTGTTCCTCTGTCTGTCCGTCCATCCATCCGTCCATCCGTCCATCCATCCTCCAGCACCTGCCTGACCCACTGGACAGCTTGGCCCCGTCCCAGTCCCGCTGCGTGAGCAGCTCGTGCCGGCCCCGCGGCGCGGTGTTAAGTGCTGTCTGCCTGCTGGATATCACAATAGCGCCTCTCGGAGACTGATTTTTTTATTTTTTTTTCCCTTTTTTTTTTTTTTCCCTCCTCCAACCAAGTCCTGACACCGTCTTTGATTTTTTGAGGGTGCAATTTAGCGCTCGCCCTAAATAATAATTGCCCTGCTGCATTTTCCGTGCCTGCCATGAAATATTCGCGGTCGGTAGGCTCCTAACTCGCCCTCGGTGCCTGCGAGCCAGGTAGCCGGGCTGCTGATTGCGAATGTCTCTGCCTGCGGCGGCAGGCACAAGAGCAAACGGCGCTGTTGGCGTTGGCAGAGCTAAATCTGCCAAAAAGGAAAAAAAAAAAAAAAAAAAAGGAGGAGAAGGCAGGCGCTGAGGAGCCAGGCTTGTTCTTCACGGCCGTGGGTGTGCGAGCTTTTTGGGGAGCTCTGTCCCCAGCCGTACCTTTGGCAGGGGGGGTTTGGAGCGGCAGGGGTGGGCGCTTCAGCATCCCCACACCTGGAGGCTCCTGGAGGTGGCTGCGGGGACTGGGGAAGGAAGGAGCCCAATTTTGGGGGAGGCCTCGGGGTGCCGGGATGGGGATGCTGCAGCTCGGTCATCGCCATGGCACCCGCTGGGGACGGGTCTCTGCGTCGGCTCGGGGCTGGCGGTGCAGGGGCGGATTTGCCTGCTCCCGTGGGGATTTTTGAGGCTAAGAAAGATTTTCCTGAACCCCGCTGCTTTGTCCTGGTTTGCAGGCAGGAGCTCTCCGAAGTGGCATCTTGACACTAAGCAGAATTTGCTGTTGGAGGGACACCCCCTGCCATCCTCCAGCCCCCCTCCGCCCAGCTCTGCTGCTCCCCAGCCTGGCACAGGCCGTGTCCCCGGGGAGGGGACGTGGGGCACCCTCCTCTTCCTCCCCTGGGGCTGGGGGAGCCGCCGTGGTGCCCCCCCCATTTCCCCACTGGAATCCCAACAGCAGCTCCTCCGCGGCGTCCTTCGGTCCGAGCAAACCCAGGCGAGGTGTCAGGAGAGGAGGGGACGCGGCACACCTCCCGGGGCCCCCTCCAGGAGGTGTGTGTGGGGGGGTCAAACCCTCACCCTCACCTCCCGAATCGGAAGGTGAAGCCGCCTTTCTTCCTGCTGTAGCCGCTGAGCTCCTCGGCCAGGTTCCCCAGGGTGCCCCCTCGCTTCTCTCCCCCGGCTGGCAGCGGTGCGGGACCCTCCTGCCTGCCCGGCTGCCCCCGCGAGCCCCCACTCCACGTGCCAGAGCCCCGCAGCTCCCGGGCGATGCCGAGCAGGGTGCTCAGCTCCTCACTTCGCCTCCGCTTCGGATTTGGCCACCAGCAAGGACCGGGGGCCTTGTCCAACTCTTCTCGGCAGCCGGGCTGGAGCGCGGGACCCTCCGCGGGGTGCCGGGGCTGCTGCGGCTCTCCGGGAGGGAAGCAGGCCCCCAGGGTCAGCAGGAAGAGGCAGGACAGCGAGGAGGGTGCTCTCATCTGGGGGAAGCACAGCGAGGGAGGGATGCAGGTGAAAAACGCAGCATCCTCTGGTCCCGTGGCCGCAGAAGGGCTGCGGATGGGTGGCACGCGCTCTCCAACCCGCTCCGGGTGCCCTCGTCCTGATACAGAGCAGCCCTCCCCAAAATCTGCTGCAGCATCTGCCAGAAAAACCCCTCCGGCTCCTCCAAGCCTGCTGGGGGGCCGCTCTGCACCCCCGTCTCCTCCCAACCCCGCTCCCCTTGGTGGCAGCGGCCCCGTGCCCCCAAATTGCAGCCCCGCAGCTCCTGCCCTGGGAGCGGGGCCGGTGGCAGCCGCAGCCTCCTGCTGCTCTCCGAGGCACCGCGGGGAGGGTTTAAGTGCCTTCACCTCAGCACTGCTCGGCTCCAAATGCGCCGCTCCCACCCGCGGTGCCCCGATAATGCAGGGGAGGGTGCTCGCCACCCCCCTGCTTTATGGGGCCGGGGGCGCCCCGCAGACAGCAGGGTGGGCTGAGCAGCGCAGGGGTGACCTTCAGGGCTCCTCCGCCGCCCCTTCCTCCTGCTGTAAAAGCTCAGAGAGGGGAAGTGGCATTTTTTTATGTTTTCTTTCCTTTCTTTTTTATTTTTTTCTTGCAGGAGATGTTGCCTTAAAAGTCACCGCTGGCGATGGGGGCTGGGGTCCCTGCCCCTTCTGTGCAGCACGGGGTGGCCGTGGGTGCTCGGCTCTCCTGCCGCAGACCCCACTGAACCCAAACCCCGCTCCCCGCCCTGCCCTGCTTTGCTTTGGGGTGCTCCATGGCCTCACCCGCACCTTGCCATTGCTTTGGGCTCTCCCAAAATGAAGCCAAACCACTCCGGGAAGCCACCATGAGGTGCACCAACCCCAACACCAACCCCATCCCCATCCCCGGACCCTCCTGGGGGCTGCCTGCCACTCACCTTCTGCCTCGGGCGATGCCCAGCGCCTGGCCCCGCTCTGCGCCACCCCAGCACCTGCCCAGACTGAGCCGCCTGGCCCCGCTCCTCTCCCCATTAAATACCCGCGGGTGCTAATTGCTGGCAGCGCATACCAGAGGCCGGGAGGCTGGCGGGGAGGTGGCTGCAGAGGCGGCCGGGGGCACGGGGGGGACGCTGATGAACGCGCCGCCTTCGTGCGCTGCCTCGTTTGGGGGGGAGGCTGAGCAGGAGCAGGGCTCTCCCTTGGCTTTGACGCAGCGGCGATGCTGGTGGGCAGCAGGGGCTGGTTGGGGACATGAATGTCCCCCACCCCTGGGGCTGTGCGTGCCCACCTGGGGCTGTTGGAGGTCCCGGAGGTGTGCGCAGACCCACATGGGTGCGTGCGCGCCGGTGGAGGTCCCCCAAAGCCCCCATGTGGAAACACACCAAGAGCCCTCCTCGGCACCGGTGCCAGGACGTGGTCCCAACAGGGCTGGGTTCCTCCTTCCCCAAAAAAACACAGCAGCTCAGCACCATCTCCCCCTGGGCTCGGGGGCCCTGTGGGGTTTCAAAGGGTTGCCAGGACGGTGCCACCAAGTCCCTTTGTGGGGCTGGGACCCACCCGATGGCACCGCAGGGCGGTGGCCCCGCAGCGCGAGGTGGGCACGGAGGCGGAGACGCGGGGTAACGATGAGTTCCTTTTATTAAGGAGTTCCCAAAGTCCACACGGACGGCGCTGGACACCACTCACACACGATGGAGACTTCACGGCACGGCAAAACAACACGACCCCGCGGGGAGGGAGGTGGCGAGGCGCCGGCCCCGCGAGCCACCCGCGCTGCCCCTTCCCGTCCCCAGCACGAGGCCGTGGCCGTGCCGTCCCCCACTGCGTCCCCGCTGCCCCCCTGGCCACCCCTTGGTAATCCTGGGGAATCCGGCACCTCGGGGGGTGCCATCCAAACCAAACTCGTCCAGAGTCCTGGGTGAGACGGGCAGTTACACGGGGAAGTGCTTACTGACACTGCTGCGCACACCACGGCCCCCCCCACAGCCCCCAGGAGCTCCCCACGATGGGGACACCAAGCACGGGCTCCGGATCCTTCTCCCCGGAGGCAAACGCTATAAAACTGGCTACGTCTAATCCACGGAAATAAACGAGCTGAAAGCAAAGGTGGGGCACGGCCGCCTTGCTGCCCTCCCTGCAGCCCCTTCCCGGGGATGCCGAGAGCCCCTGGGGTGCTGCTGGGGGGCTCCTGCCCCCCGTGTTGGTTGAGGAAAGCACCGCGGAGCTCCCCAAATCGCCTCGGTTCAGGCACCCAGCCCGGCTGGCTGCCCGGGTAGGGATGGAGCTGGGCTGATGGTGGCTGCTTGTGCTCGGAGCTCGTCCCCATCGAGTGGGGAAATGTCCCCGGCAAAGGGCAGAGTTGGGGGGGGCCGAGCACTGAGGGTCCCCGCTCCCCTGGCGGGGCAGGGGGATGGAGAATCGCCTGGCGGCTGAGAGGGCTCGTCCAGCTCGTTGAGGGGGAAGATTTAAAAAAAGGAGCACGTAGGGAAGTGCAAAGCTGCCGGGAGGACGAGGCTTTGATCTCACGGTGCCCGCAGTCCCCAGGCAGCGGGGGCAGTGGGGGCAGCGGGGGCTGTCCTCCCCTCCTTGGGGTGCTCCGGGTGCGCTCCATGGGGCAGGGTCCGGTGCAGGGGCTGCTCTCCTCGTTGCTTCTGGAAATATCACACAGGGTGCAGGGGTCCCGGCTTCCCCCTCCCCTCCCTGCTCCCGCACAGGCTTTGTTGGGGGCTTTTTTGGGGCAAAAGCCCCCCTGGAGTCCTTGCCAGAGCCTGTCCCTCTCCCCACCACCACCCATGCCCAGGGGGTCGGGGTTGCTGCACCCCTGGGTGGGTCGGGGCTGAGCCTGGCTGCGGCGGCAGCCCCGTTATCAGGGCCCTGCAGATGCTAAGCCCCACTCAGGGCTGCTTTCCGCAAAACCTTAATGGGATTTGAGGAAACGAAAGGCTTTGAATATCTGCAGGTGCAGAGCCGTGGCTCATCGGGATGGAGACGAACGCGGGGCCCCGGGCTGGGGGCTCGCAGGGGGAGGCGTGTGCTGGCCGAGGCGGGGGGGATTTGGGCAGGGTCACAGCTTTTGGATGGGGAAAATCCAACGTGAGGCCCAGCAGGTCCTGTCGGCAGGGAGGGGCTGTGTGGGGCAGGTGCTGGGAGGCGAGCCTTCCTCGCTCCCTCCTCCTCCTCCTCCTCCTCTCTGCTTCCCCAGTGCCTCCAAAACGGCTCCGTGCCGTGCTCGGCTGCAGGCGCCCGTCCCTGCAGCGCCGTGCCCGTGGGTTTGGGGTGTCCGTGGGCAGGGACAGGCGGCCAGCCTGGCTGCACACCCCAGCCCTGGGGGGGACAGCGAGGTCTGGCCGTGTCCCCCCCTGCTGCCAGGACCAGGGATGGGGAGAGGGGAGCGTCCACGGGGTGGAGAAGGAGCCGCAGGCGCGGTGATGTGGGCACAGGGGCTCCAGCCCAGCAGCGCCCTCCCCATCCCCAGAAGCGCTGCTGGGGGCTCTGTGGGTCCCCCCGAGTGGCCACCAGGTTGCCCATAGATGTCCGTGCCCACCGTGGGGACAAGCAGAGGGGACCAGCCCTGGCACAACCTCACCGCTCAGCCCCCCCAGCACCGCTCCCCAAATCCCCGCTGCACCGCAAGCGGCTCGGGGAGGGGGCACCCATCTCGGCAGGGGAGTGGGGGGCACGGGATCAACACAGACACCTGGGGAAACAGCCGCCAGCCCTGGGGGATGATGCTCCTGAGGGACCCCGGGGGAGGACGGCAACCTGGGGTGCGCTGGGAGGACGGGGACACAGGGACACGGGGCGCTGGGGAAGGGCAGGGGCTGGGGGGGGAGCTCGTGCCATCCCCTAGTTCTCCTCCCGGACAGGCCGGATCTTCATCTCGGTGAACTTGAGGGAGTACTGCCAGCCCGTCCAGGAGGACCACTCGATGCCGTCGGCGTAGGAGCTGTGGTGGCCCTTGAGGTACTGCCCGTTGAGGTTGGAGGTGTGGCAGTTGCGGTACCACCAGGCGCCGTGGTAGAAGGACGCGCAGTTGTTCTCCGAGTGGTCGTTGTCCAGGTCCTTGGTGGTGAACTTCATCCCGTTGTGCTTCAGGAAGGAGTCTCCTGCCTGCAGGGGAGAGGGGCCGTGAAGGGCTCTTCCCACCCGTCTCCCTGGGGGTCCCACACACCCCCCCCCCCTGTGGGGCTCTCCGGTGCCGTACGGGGCGCTCGGGCTCACCCGCTGTGCCGATACCCAACCGGCAGCCGCTCTCCAGCTCCCAACCCTCTGCAGATGCAGCCCCAACAAGGGATTTTGGTGCCCTGTGGGGCCACGCACGTTCCCGACACCCTACCTGCCGTCCCCGAGTAGTCGGCGATGGACACGGGGTACCCGTCCTCCTCGGGGTCGACGGAGAAGAGCCCCACGCCGAAGCTGCCGTAGTGCGCAAAGGCGGTGCCGTTGTCGAAGTCCTCCAGGTCGATGCGGAGCTCGTAGGTGCCCTGTATGGTCAGCACGTGGATCCGCTTCAACCCTGCAGCATGGGGGACGGGGTGAGCGGGGGGCACCCGGGGGGGATCCCCCAGGAAAGGGGCACGGGGTGGGACGCAGCAGCTCCCCCCCAGCCCCTGCTCCGCTTGCCAAGGGCGCGCACTGCAGCTTCCCTGCCTGCTGCTGCCCCTTTGCAGCCTCCCCGCGTGTTCGTGTGTCCCCCCCCCACGGCCAGGCAGCGTTTGGGGGTTTGGGGTCAGCCCTGTGCGGAGGAAATCCGGCCCCAAAGGGGCTGCCACCCCACGCACCTAACCAGTGCTCCCCAGTCAGCTTGCCGAAGCCGTCCCGGTACGCCTCCCAGCCACGGAAGAAGTTGACCTGAGCCGTCCTCCCGCCGCTGGAACACCTGGGGAGACACCGGGGGGGGGTCAGCCACAGGGGTGCTCCGAGCCCGAGCTGCTCCCGGCCTGTGCTGCTCCTCGTCCTGCTGCCTCATTAGGCCCAGGTAGAAATTAATTCCTGCCCAAATTAAACCCTTCGGGCTCGGTTATTCCATGGGGATGCCGGAGCGAGCAGATCCCAGGCGATGCTTGGTTTTTGTCCCCCCCTGGGGACAGGAGGGTGGCTTCAAATAGGATTTAACCCCATGCCCCACCTGGGGGACACCTCAGCTCCCCGTGCTGCCCAGACCCAGGCCAGCTCAGGGCTCAGCTTGTTTTTTCTGTCCTGGAGCCACCCCTTTTCCTCTCCTGTCTGCTCATCGGCGTTTCACGCCCCGTGCGTTTCCTCCCCTTTTATCATTATTTTGAGTTTGATTTATTGACAGCAAGCCAGAAAACGCTGCTCCGTGTCCGACCGTTTGAACGTAATTAAGCCTCCAGCTCCAGATTAATTGCATTAAACTTGGCCGCCCCAGCCTGCCTGCGGGGGAATCGAAGCCGGGGGGACGGCCCCACAGCGCTCAGCTCCCCGGGGTGCCGGGGGGCTTGGGGGGGGCTGAGCCCCCAAGCGCCGGGGCTGTCCCCACAAGCAGTGCCACCTCTCCAGGATGCTCCCGTCCTTCTGTGGCTCGCTGCCATGGCACACGTGGGATTTTTACCCCCCTAAATTGGTCACTGCACGTCCCGGAGCTGCTCTCCACGGGGACGGGCCCCCAGCTCCTGCCCCCCGTGCAGTTTTGGGGCTGGGCGCTGCCAGAGCCGCCCTGCGCAGGGGCAGCGCCATCCTCGGCGCGGCACGGCGCTGATCCTGCTGTACTTACCTTCTAGAATTAGAGCCTTAATTTTTATCCCCGCGTTGAGCACTTGAGAAGCCGCGGCTAAGCCCGTTAAAGGGGCTTTCTGGGCGCTTGGCAGGCGAGGGGGTGGCGCGGCTGGCTGGGGGCCCCCCGAGCTGATTTTCCCCGGCCAAGGCTGGCTCCGAGCGCTGCCGCGTGGGGAAGGCGACAGCGATGCTCCCGTTTAATCGGCTTTGACCCGAGGTTGTAACTAGGCCAATTGCCCGAGGGGTGCTCAGGAAGGCGTGCGGGACACGGCTTCATTAGCTGAGCCTCGGCGCACTGCGGTGATTACCGAGGCGCCTGCAGCTTAGGGCTGGCACGGGGCTCTCCCGGCACCGGAGCAGCCCTCGGTGCCCCACGGTCCCCAAAATTGGCTTTGAGAGGCTCCAAACATGCTGGGAGGGCTGGGGAGGGGGTGCCAGATCTCCCGCAGATCCTTCTGGGTCTCCTGCGCCCTCCTCGTCACCTCTTGTCCCTCCTGCTGCGTGCGCCCACCAGGCAGGGATGCGATGGTTTTGGGTGAGCAGCTCGGGGGGATGCTGCCGTGAGCCTCCCGCAGGGGGATGCTGCCAGGGGGGACGTGGGGACAGCTCTGGGATGGGGGCTGGGGTGAGAAATGGGCTGGGGGAGCAGCCTCACTGCGCTCACAGCGCGGGCTCCCTGCTCTTTTCCTCCCCATGAAATATGCATCGCCCCCTCTTAAGCAAAAAGGATTTCCTTCCCCGCTTTAAAGCCCAGGCTGAAATATTCATCGCCCCGGCTCGCTGCCTCCTCCGGTCACTGGGAGCTCACCGGAGCGAGGCAGACCCCGGGAAGGCACGGGCCCAGAAAAGTGAGTGAAATAAAGAAAAAAGGAGCACCAGCCTCTGCCTGCAGCCGGGCTGGGAAGTGTCCGTGCTGCAGCCCCGGTGCTGCTGCTGCGAGGTTCGCTCAGCCCGTGGGCATCGCTGCAATTAAACCCAGCTCTAAGCACAGGGCACGGGGGACAGAGACCTGGCCACGCAGCACAGCTGGTGGCAGAGGTGTCCCCGAGGCTGGTGGCACCCCCAAAATAATGCTGTCCCCACCCACATCTCCACCTTCGTGCTGCCCTGCTGACAGCGAGTGCCCCCCGGTGCTGCCAGCTCCCTTTTCGGGCAGGATCTACTTTTCAGCTGTGCAAAATACACGGGAAACGGCCCCAAATTGCTGCCATCGCTCACAGCGAGCTGGGGAAGGTAGGGAGTGGAAAAAGCATCCCACGTCCCCTGGGTGCCCAGCTCGGGGCTGGATGTGGCCGTCACCTTGTGCCACGGGGCGCAGAGCCGTGGCACGGGGAGCTGCACAGAGCTGTCCTGGGGACGGGGAGCAAACGGGGACCCTCAGGGCGAGGGGACGTGGTGGTGACCCCGTGGGGACGGGGAGATGCTGGTGGGTGACCCCGTTTGGGGTTTAGGTGCAGCGGGGCATCGGCACGGCTCTGCCCCTGCCCTGTCTCCGCAGGCTCCGAGCCTCCCTTGCAGCCTCGGGCTTAGCTCAGCAGCTCCCGAGTCAAAATTGATTCAGCTGCTTCCACCCACCCACCCACATGCAAATAAGCCCAAATGTCAGGAGTAATCGCTCCAGAGGAGGAGGAGGAGGAGGAGGAGGAGGAGGGGAGGGAAATTTCCCAGGCTCTGCACCACGGCACCCAGCCGGGGCTCACCTGGAGCCCCCCGTGGGCGCGTGCCCGTGGACCCCAAAATGTCCCCAGCCCCACGGGAGATGGGTGGGATGTGTCCCCCCCCCAGACCCTGGGGGTACACCTGGGAGCCTGCACTGCAGAAAAACCCAGAGAAAGGGAGGCGAACAAGGCTGGTGCCGTGCCTCGAGGCAAGGAGCCGGGGCGAGCGTCTCCGTCCCTGTCCCCGCGGTGCCGGGACTTCGGCTCCGTTGTCCCCAGCTGAGGCCAGGGCACGTGGTGCTGCCTGGGGTAAAATCATTCACTTTGCACCCTCCCCAGCCCAGCTGGAGCCCTCCCAGCTGCAGCAGCTTTAAATAAACCTCTGAGTGGCTGCCTAATCACCTTGGGCTGCTCTTCAGGCAGCTCCTGAGCGCGTGGCTGGGGGAGGCTGCGCGTGGGGTTGGCCGGGACCCCCTGCTCCTTGGGAAAGGAGGGGGTCCCCCTTTTCCTTCCGTGCACCCCCAGGACCCAGGGTGCCTGTGCTGTGCCTCTATTTTCCCCGCTGGAGCTGCTGCTACGGACCCGGCTGTGCACAACAAGTTGCTGCTGCCTGGGGTGGGCTCCGGGCAGAGCGAGGCCGAAGGCTCATCAGCCCCCCGAGGGCAGGGGGGCTAAGCTCCCTCCTGGCACCGCTCAAAGCTGCTTAGGGGAAGCAGATCGCGGGGATTTATTTCCTAGAGCGCCCAGCTGGAGGGGCTGGAGGGGTGGCTCGGCTCAGCCAGCGTGTCCTTGGGGGGGAGGCTGCCTGCCCCTGAGGGTCAGCACCCTTGGGTCCCTGCGGGGTGGCACCCCGACACCCCCAGCAGTGCCCCCCTGGATGGGGGTGCCCAAGGGGACCTGGCTGAGGAGGGTCCCTGGGTCAGGGGGCTGTGATTGCAGTCCCCCCCGCCCTGCTCTGTGCCGCATTACTGCGATTTTGGGGCTGTCGCGGCGCTGCAGCAAAGCGAAGTGGACAAGGCGAGCTAATCAGTGGTGCAGGCGCCCCGGGGTGCCCCTTTGTCAGCTGAGGCGAAACGAGCTGGGGCTGGGGGCGTCCCGGGCTCCGGAGGGGGCAGGGAGGGCACGAGGCTGCGCTCTGAGCTTCCAAAAATGCTGTGGAAAGCCCCGGTCGCCGCCTTTGGACAGGGGCAGGGGGATGTGGGCTGTGATGGGGGGCAGAGCAGGCGTTCGTGGCTCACAAGCTAATTTCTCCTGCTGCCCTCATTTTGGGCAGCCTGGTTTTGGGGAGCTGCCCGAGCACCCCACCTGGGGTTGGTGGCTCCCTGCTGCCTGGTTTGCCTTCACCGCCCTGCTCCGTGCGCAGCACCCAACAAAAGGCAGCACGGAGCCCGGCACGAGCTCACACCACCCAGCAAGACATGGGGATGGGGTCAAGCAGAGCCTTTTGCCCCATTTCATCCCATCCTGGGGCCAGCCCTGCTGGGAAGGACGGGCTCCATCACGGCACCAAGCTCCAAACCCCAGCAGCGCGTCCTGAGCCGGTGCCAGGTCCTGGTGCGCAGCCAAGCCCCATCCCCACGTCCCCACGACGCATCCCGGTGCCGAGAGCGACGTCTCCAGCCCACAGCCCCCTCGTCCCCGTGTGGGGACATGGCCCCGCTCACCGTCCAGCCGCCCCCGTCCGTCGTCATGTCGCAGTAGACCTGGAAGCCCGCGGGGTCGTGCGTGGGGAAGATGGAGTAAATCCCATCCTCTTGCTGTCCGCTCGCGTAGATGTCAAAGCAGTCCCGGGGCCGGGAGCCTGGAGCGGGGCGCAGGGATGGGGTGGGAAGGAAGAGGGAGGCTGGTTAATTAATGAGCTAATTTCATGGCTTGCCATTTCTTCCAGGCTCTTGACCGTGCTGCCAGCTCTCGTTGCCTCGCTCTTTCCAGCCCTTCTCCTCCGAGGCTCCAGGGGAAGCAGTGCTGGGGGGGACACAGCCACCACAGGGCAGGGACCGTCCCCAGGACCCCTGCGATGCCTGGGGCCGGTGGGTCCCAGCTGGGGAGGAGGGAGCCAGAGGCAGCTGCAGGCAGGGCACGGACACGCTGCCGGCCCCGGGGCCATCTCAGCCTCATCCCAACCCACGGTTTGAATGCCACGGAAGGAGAAAGGTCACTTCTGCACATCTGTGGGGAACAGGCAGAGGTAAAGGGGCTTTTGGGCTGGTTTCACAGGCTGGATAGCTGGGGCTGCGTGGTGAAAACCCATCCTGGGCACATCTCCCTCCTGCCCAGTCCCCCCGCCGCACCCAGTGCCCTCCAGGCTGGTTTCCCCATCTCGGGTTTGTTTCCCCCTCCCTTTTCCCCAGGTAGGGACATGCTGAGGGCCACCCCATGGCAGCACCCTCTCCCCTGGGTGGCACAAGGATCCCCGTCTCACCGTTGGAGCAGCCACGGGGCCGCGCTCCCCGTGCCGGGGCTCGCTGCAGGTCGGCCTTGAGCCGGGGCCGTGCGCCGCCGCGCTCCTTCTGCAGCGTGTCCAGCACGTCGCTGACAGAGCTCACCAGCCGAGCCATGTTGGCCTGGCTCTCCGAGAGCAGCTGCGGGCGAAGGGGACACAGGGGAAGGTGACAAGTTGTGGTCAGGTGTGATTATTTTTAGGTCCCTTCCACCCGCAGCAGGGCGGCTCCTCCGTCCCCACGCAGCGCGGATGCTCTGCGCGCTCCCTTGGTTCTCCAAACGCCACCAGGCAGGGCGCAAGGTGAGGGACACAAAAGCCACAGCAGACCCCAAGCAGCCCCTTCGGGTGCTTTGCAGCCTGGTGGGGTCTTCTCCAGGCTGGAGAAACCCCCGGCCCTTGGTGCGCCGGTGCTGCCGCCCCGCGGGCGCGCACAGGGAGCGGCCCTGGGGGACCTGGGGTGGCAGCAGGAGCCGTGTCCTGAGCCAGCCACCGGCTCTGCCGTCCCCCGAGGTGACCCAGGCGGGGAGAGGCAGGCGAGGTGAGGGCAGGCGGGAGCAGGGCAGCGGAGCTGAGGAGGTGACAGAGGGACGGGCAGCCAGCCCTGAGCGGGACCCGCAGCATCGCAGCAGCTCTGCCCTACCCGGGTAAGGTTTTGGTGCCATCCAGGAGGGGTTGGGGCGGTGAATTGGGGAGGGCAGGGGGGTGGTTGGTGAGCAGGGAGGGGAGAAATCCCCCAGCACGGTCCTGCTGCCCGTTTGGGTATGCCCAGGGGTGCTGAGCCAGATCTGGAGCAGGGAGCTGGGCACGGGGACCCTAAAAGTCTGCAGCCATCGGTGTGGCATCACCCCCAGCTCCTGTCCGCTGGAGCTGCTCCCTCCACACAGACCAGGGGCCGTGCCCTACAACCCTGGGGACACCCAGGTCCCCAAGCAGCACCGTGGAGCCGTACCCACCTGGATGAGCCTGCCCTGCTCGCCCTGCAGGGCGCTGAGCTCCTGCCCCATGGCGCTGTGCCCTTTCTTGAGGCCATCGCAGTCGGCGCGCAGCTGGGCAGCGTGCGCCAGCAGCTTGGCCACCTCGTCGGCCACGGTGACCAGCAGGGCCTTCTGCTGCCCCTTGGCGGCCTTGGTTTCGGCGTCGTGGTCGGAGAGGGCGCGCAGCAGGGAGCTCTGCAGCCCCTCCAGGCGCCCGAAACCGCCCGCCTGGTCGGGGCAGTTGGGGTCGATGAAGATGTTGATGCGGGAGCTGTCGGCTTTCTCGATGGTGACCAGGGCGTTGGCTTCCTCGGGGTTGGTGCTGATGACGGGGGGCGGCTCGGTGCCGGGCGCGTGGTAGTGGTTGATGAAGAGGATGGCCCCCGTCACCGTCACCGCCAGGAGGACGGCCACCGACAGCAGCACGGTGCACAGGACGTACCCGCAGCTCATCCTCTGGGGACACACACACAGATGCCAGCGGGACCCATCCGGGTGGACCTCAGGACCCCCCCAGCCCGCTGCCCCTCCGCCACGAGGTGGGTTCAAACCCTCAGGGGGCAGGAGCTGGGTTCACCCCTGGGGTTTGCACCCTGCTGCAGGGCGCTTTTGGCCCCGTGCGAAGCCCAGAGGGGGGAGCTCTGCCTTCGTGCCCTGTTTTTGGGCAGGCAGCCCCCCCCAGAAGACCCCCTGGGAGAAGTTGGGTGGCACCTAGGGGACAGCGGGGAGGCCAGGCTGTAGGTTTTTCCTGCGGGGTGATTCTCCACGTGGCTCGCATCCGTGCCCATGGGTTGGACCCACACCTCCGCGACGGGTCCAGCAGCGAGGGAGGTGACGCTGTGCACCGGAGGGGGGGGGACACGGGGACCCCAAGGACCCCCCGGGGAGCCCTGCGGCTCTGCCAGGGCTGGAGGGGGCACGGGTGAGCTCAGTGAGCAAAGCTGCTAAAACCGCCTGGGAGACGGGGGGGTATGAAATAATAACGAGAGCGAGCGGTGCCGCGGCCGCGTGCTGCCACTCGCATGTTTTATTGAACAGGCGATGCTCAGCCAGAACAGCCCCAGCTCCAGGGAGGTGCGTGCGGGCTCCCGGCTGCCCTGGGCGTGCACAAATTTGGGGAGAAACGGGGGGAAAAAAACACCTCCTGTGAGCCCTGGGGAAAGCAAGAGGTAAGCATGGGGCATCCCCAGCTGGAGCCACGCTGAGCACCGCGGGGACCTGCTCCCAGCGGGGAGCTCCCCGCTCCAGGGAGCCCCACGTTCCCGTCCCCTTTGCACCGTCCCTGTCCCCAGAGAGGAGCAGGGCAGCTCCCAAAGCCCTCAGCTCACGGGGAGAGCCTCTCCTCCTTGCACAGCCCCACGGTGATGCTGCCACCCACCCCATCAGCTCCCGTCCCCCCCCACCCCGTTCCCATTCCACCTGCGGGACGGAGGCTGTGATTTTCCCCTGACCCCGGCCGCAGCTGTCAGAAGGAATTGCAGGGCTGCCAGAAAAGCCGCCGATTCGCAGAGACAAAGACGACTTTCTCCGGGAATGAGAGCAAAAATTGCTGCATCTGCAAAGATTTCCCAGGCCCTGTCCCCTCCCGTGCGCATCTATCTGGAGTGACACCTTCCTTCAAGCACCCTTCACTCACGCTCCTGCAACCATTTGCATTAAGGTGACCCCAGCTGCGCTGGATGGGGAGGGCTCAGGGGGGGCCCACGGCTGCCCCCCAGCCCCGGGGGATGCTCCGGGTTTGTTCCCTGGTGATGGGAACGGTGGGAGAGCCACCCCGCAGGGAGCACCGTAAGGAGGCAGCCCCAAAGCCTCCTGCTGTGTGCGTCAGGAGGAAATGTCACGGCATTAAGGGGAGCTTTCGGCAAGCTGGGGGGGTGCTGTGTGCTTCTGCACGGGGTGGGGACAGGGACAGGGGCTGGGGGGCTCATCCTCAGAGTGCTTCTGCCCACGGGATGGGGCAGGGGGCATCGCTGGCAGCCCCATGGGGACATTTGGGACCTGTCCCCTGCGAGCACAGAAGCAAAAAGGATGGGGATGGATGGGGGTGGATGCTGAGCACAGGCACTCGGTGGGATATTTGGGGACCTGTGGGACGAGCAGTGACAGTGCCACCACGCCTGTCCCACCCCCAGCTCTGCGCCCTCCTGTCCTGCACGCGACTGCTCCCAACCCTGGGTCCCCCCCCCCATTGCTGATGTCCTGCTGGGACCCCCCAAGGGACCCGGCTGCCAGGCGAAGGGCTTCCATCCACGGAGCCGCCCTGCATGATGCTGCTGCTTCCCACTGGCCACAAATCCCCCGTGGGCTCCAGTCACCACGAGCCTGTGGCTCTGCCCAGGAGCTGCACCCACCCAGCTCCTCTCCAGCCTTCGAGCCCCGGCACTGGGGGGGCAGCAGGGGGGGGGGACGCGGCCCCTCTGCTCGCAGCCGTGCGGTGACAGCTTTACAGGGCCCCCAGCATCTCGCTGGCAGGTTGTGTTACCTGGCAACCTGCGGTGGGGAGAGGAAGGGAAACTCAGCCGGCGGCACCAGGAGCGCTCCTGGCCGGGTGGGGGTCCCCCAAGCCCCCACCCCCAAAACTCGGCAGCACCACAGCAAAGAGAGAGAGCTCCCGGCATGGGGCCCTGCAAACACCTCGTCCCTCAGGGCTCCGAGGGATTCTGCTGTCCACTGAGGGGCTTGGAGCTCGTGGAGCTTCTTGCTGAGCTTTTGGGCAGCCGTAGGACATCCCTCTGCTGGATGACACCCTGCTTGGTGGTGTCCCCTTGCCATCAGGCTGGAGCTCCCGATGTCCCCAGATCACTTCTTCCTAAGGAGCGAGTGGAGCTGCTTCACCTGCAAACCTGCTCCGGGTGCTGGGGTGAGAGGCCGTGGTGGTGCCAGTCCCTGCTCTGCCCCCCGTGGGCGCAGAAGGCCGGTTCCCCTCATGCTGGATGCACGTGGAGCACGGAGGAGGCAGCCCCAAGGAGCTGGCGCTGAGGATCCTGCTCCTTTTTGGCCCTCTGAAGGGCTGAAGCACCCAGGAGAGCCAGCATGGGTGGGGAGCAAAAGCTCCTGCACCCCGAGCCCTGGTTTGGTGTCTCCACTCGTGGCCACTGTGCCCGTGGGGTGGTCCCAGCAGCACCAGTGCCCAAAAAGTGGCCACACTGGGCGCAGGGTGCACCGGCTTCAGCACACGCAGCCGGAGCAGAGCCACGGGGAGTGAAGGGCAGTTGCTGGTTGTCCCCAGGCAGCCGGGATGGGGATGGAGCTGAGGACGGAGAGCAGTGCTGGGAGAGGCTGAGCTTTGCCGTGGGGCAGTTTTTGGAGGAGGAGGCGCCCTTTGCTCCAGCAGCTGCTGCTCTTCGCTGTGGGCTCTCCAGGCAGGGCCATGGGGAGAGCTCTGGGATGGGGGCAGCGACTGCTGGGGGCTCCCCTGTGAGCTGTGCCCCAGCTGGGTCCGATCCAGGCTCCCAGGGGTGCTTCACAGCACAATTTCCATCAGCCAGCCCCTGCTGCTGGGGCAATCTGCAGCCCAGCCACCCCATGCTGCCAGGTCCATCTGGCCCCAGAGGAGCCCCAGGACAGTGGGGGCTGTTCCATCCCCACCCAAAGGCAGGGCTTGCAGCTCCTCGTGCATCCCAGCTGCTTGTCCTGCTCTTCCCCTGCCCCCCTCCAGGCTGAAGCAGCCTCGCTCCAGCCCCTCTTTGCCCAGAGCTGCTCCCCGTGGGGCTCGGGGCCGTGCTGGAGACAGTGTCCCAGCACCTTGTTGTGCTCCCTGCCCGTCCCAGCACCCTGCCCTGCTTCTCCCAGAGCCGGCACAGAGCTGAATCCTGCTACCTGCTCTCCTCCGTGCTCCCAGCCCGCTGCTGCTGCTCCTCCAGCGCAGCACGGCGCGGGGAGAGGAGCTGCCTGGCTGCGGGCGAGCGCGCAGGGACAGCTCTCTGCTGGAGCCTCGGGGAGCTGGGAGCAAACTCTGCCTCCTCTGCAAAGCCCAAACAGCTCCAGGCTGCGCCATCCAGCCCCGTGTGGGGCCAGACCCATTGAAGGGGTGGGCGAAAAGCAAGCGATGGACGTGGGGACGAGCGTGCCACCGCTGTGCCTGCTCCCCGCAGACCCTCTCCAGGCAGCGGGGTGCGGAGAGAAGCCAGGTGATTGAGGCTGCTGCTGCTGCCTCCCTGCTCCCAGCTCCATCCCTGCCTCTCGGGCAGTGTCGGGACCATCTCCTTGGTTTCCCCCAGCCCTTTGCAGCCCCGCTCGCCCACGCACCGTGCGCCTTCGCCTCCAGCCCTGCGTGGTGTGGGGTGCGAGGCAGCCCCGTGCCCCAGCCGTGCCCCCCTGCCTGCCCCATGGTTTTGGGCTCGGCTGGGGGAACCGACACACGCCTGGCTGCTGGAGCAAGCAGCATTTGGCACACACACGGGCACCCGTGTGTCACCCACGCTCTGCCACCACCGCCGGCCTGTCCCCCAAAACCTGGCCGCCTGCTGCCCAGGAGAAGGGGCAGGTTGGGGAGGGAGGGGAGGGGAGGAAATAAAGGCACGCAGCCGGCTCTGGCTGCAGCACGGCCGCCAAATCCCCTCCAGGAGGTGATTTCGGAGGTGATGGAAGCGGTGGAGCAGCGGCGTTGTGTGTGACAGCCCCGGAGCGGCCAGGGCGCACGGAGGGATGCGCCCCCGGCTGGAAATAAAGCACCGCGGGGGGGGCTTCACGGGAGGCAGCGAGCCCGGAGCCTCCTTTTGGGTCCTTTTCGGGATGAGGATGCTCGTCTCAAGGCGGGGGGGAGCCTCTCACAAGCGGGGCTGCCCAGGGCGAGAAGTTGGGGAGGGGGCCCCCCCCCCACCGTTCCACCTCCCCCTGCCGGGTGCCGTCCCGCCGCCCCCGGCTCGCCCCGTACCTGCGCTTTCTCCTGCTGCCCGTCCTCAAGTTGCGAGGCTCCTCCCATGGTTTTCCACCTCTCGTTCCCCATCGCGCCGCAACTTCGGGCCAAGTCCCCGAGCCCCCTCCCCGGGCGCAGCAGCCCCGCAGCCGCCGCCGCCGCCGCGCAGCCGGAGCGGGAGGAGGAGGAGGAGGAGGAGGAGGAGGAGGACGGGAGGAAGAGGAGGGAGGAGGCCACGGGCACGGACGCGGGGGTGGGTCTTCCCTCCCGGCAGCCCCGCCCGCCCCTCTTTCCCCCCCCCCTTCTCCGGCCGTGGGTAGGGGGCAAAGGGGCGAGCGGTGCCCCCCCCCCCCCTCACCACCACCCTGGGGTGCCCCCCTCTGGTCCCACCGCTGCCCCCCCTCACCCCCCCCCCCAAGGCACTGCTATGAGGGGGGCTCCTCTGTGTGCCCCCCACCCCGCTCCAGCCGCTCCGGAGTCACTCCGGATTGAAGCCCCCCCCCCTGGGGACAGCCCGGCTGCAGCTGGAGGAGGCGCAGCAGGTAAGGCAGGGGCTCGGAGCAGGGTGGAGAGGGGGGGTTTTGGGGTGTCCCCTGCCCCCTTGGGGCTATGGGGAGGGGCAGGTGCTGGGTGCGTGGCCCCCCCACCCCATTCCCAAGGCCATGGTGCTGGGGGCAGCAGCTCGGGGGGCTCGGTGCCACCCTGCCCCACGGGGGGGGGGGTGTCCCTTAGGGGGTCTGGGCAGAGCGGGGGGCATCTGGATCCCCCCCAGATAGCCTTGGGAGCTAAAGGGGACCTGCTACAAACCCCCAGTGCTGGCTGGGGGCGCAGCAGCAGGGCCCCCACCCTTTGGAGCTGCCCACCGAAGCACCGCAAGCGGGGCGTTTTGCCCAAACCTTGGCGTTTTCAGCCCAAAGCGGCAGTGCCGGCCTGACTTCCCGCCACCTCTCGGAGCAGGGCTGTGGGTTTTTGTTTTTTTTTTTTTCCTTCCCGTACCCTGGCGGCACCTCCCTTTAAATCTTTCATCCGCCGCTTGTCTGACCTGCGGGCAGGAGCGCTGCTAAGAGCTTCTCAGGAGCATCCTGAGAGCACAGAGGGCTCAGCCCTGCGTCAGGCCGGCTGGGGACCGGGGGGGCTGCTCCCTCCCTCACTGCCGAGAAACCCCTGGAGACCTCTGAGCAGGGGGGGCACAAGGGGAAGCACCCCCAGGCCGGTGCCTCGAGCCGTGGGTACCCGAGTGCCCGCTGTCCCCTGGCCAGGAGCAAAAAATGCCCATGGTCCTGGTGATGCTGTGCGGATTTACGGGGTGCTGCTGGTGGCCACAGCCCAGCTCCTTCCCCGCTGGTGGCTTCTCTGGCTGAGACCGGGCAGCTCGCTGCACCAGTGGCGGGTTCGTGTCCCCCCCCCCCAGTAAGCAGGGAAGTCCCCGGAGGCTGTTAGAGCTGAACTCCGAACAATAAAAACTTATCATTAAAAAGAAATGTGTCTTGGCTTCATGTGGCCTGGCAGCGCGGGGAGGAGTGATTCAGTGGCTTGTCAGCCCTCGGTGTTAGGCACGGCGAGCTGAGCAACTGGACCCTCTCCAAGTCCAGCAACTCATTTTCTGCAGCGGGAGCCGGGGCTGTGCAGGGAGCTGGCGTTTAATTTGCAGCCCAAACACACCTTGACACAACCCCCAGCGTCGGCACGGGTGCTCGGGAGCCCAACGGGGTTGGGTGCCCGTGAGGGTGCGGGCGCAGGGCGCATGGCTGCCAGGTCCTTGTAGGCGCGTGTTTTTTTGGGGAGCCCTGCCCATGCACGAGCGAGGGGCCGGTGGGGACGCTGGCCATGCTCATCGCTGACTCACGCCGAGCTGTGTCACCTCGTGTCACCCGTCACGGGCTCTGCCTGGAGATGTGGCACTGGGGATGTGATTTGGGGTGCCCCGGCTGGCTGAACCCCACGGCTCCATCCCCATCCCCTCCTGGGCTCACAGCCCTGCAGCTCCTTCACCCCGGCTCCTCTCGGGGGCACTGCATTTATCCCCAACATTTCATCTTTAAAAGCTTGCCCAGATAAAGTGGTCCTGGCCCCCACCCCCCAAGGGCTGTGCGGGGTGGGATGGAGCCCCCAGGGTTGGGGTGAAGGCTGTGGCCGGGCACCGTGGGGCTGGGAGAGCTCCGGGGGGATCCCTGTGGCACGGCAGCAGCTTGGTGAGGTGGGGAGGGGGCTTCTGCTGGCAGCCCAGCCCGGATCGATCCACGCAAGGAGGGGATGATTCATGTCTCAGGCTGTGGCCTGAGGGTGAAAACGGGAGAAGTGTTTGATGTGAGGATGCCGGTCCTGCTGGGAACTGCGGCTCCTGTTGGAGCTTCCCTGCCCCGAACAGGCTCTGCCCCTGCTGCCCGAGGGTCCTGGGCTCAGCCTGGGGCAAAAAAAATTACCAAAGGATCTTGGGATTAGCTCTGTGCGCTAAAATACGGTGTTTAAAGACAATTTTTTGGATGCTGTCTTGCATGCAGCTGTTGAAGGCGGCGAGCAGAGCTGCTGTGCGTCGTGGCTGGCAGGGGCTGGCTCCGTGCGGGGTGGCCGTGTCCCCGGTGGGGACAGAGACCCCCAGGGAGCGGGGGACACATGGGACAGGGCTCGCTCTGCGTGCCCAGCACAACACGGCACCGGAGACGGGGCTGGATTTTGGTGGGTCCCAGCAGGCTTTGAAACCTGTGGGTTTGGAGCTTTTGGCGAGGGGCTGCGGGGGGCAGAATCCCGCATCTCGCAGCCATTTCCCCACCGAGGTGCTGGGGTTGGGGAGGTGGGAGAGGGGGCTGCCTGGAGGCTGCCACCTCCCCGGGTAACTGCGCGCTTTCCTTGGCCGTGTGCCATCGGAGCCGGAGAGCCGTCGCTGCACACACACGGCGTCAGACATCATCATAATATTAATAATGAAAGGGCAGCTCCTTCAAAGATCTTCGCCCCTGCGCCGCGCGGCTGGCGAGAGCGCAGAATGCAAAGGAGCTGCGTGAGCCTCATCCCAAGCAGCTGCAGGGGGGGGGAGCACCGGGATGCCCCCTGCCCGCCTCCGTGCTTCGAAGCTGGGCTCGCCAAAACCCACCGGGAGCCCCCCCCCCCCCCCCCGGTGCTCTCCCCACTGTGAATTTTGCTGCGGGGGTCCCCAGCTCCTGTCCCCCGGTGCCAAGCCTTGGCAGAGGTTGTGGCCGGAGCCTGTCCTGCGCCCTGCCCAGCGTTCAGCGGTGCCACTCGCCGTGCCAGGGGGATTTCTTTCCATCAATCGACGGCTCAGACAAGGAGGTGTCTGGGGCTGGAGGCACAGCAGCCCCCAGGGGGGTCATCTCCTGTCTTTCTGGGGCGCAGGGATGCTCTGGCACCCCCCTGCTGGCAGTGCCAGAGGTTTTGGTGGGGCCACGAGGAAAAGGGGGAACCAAAGCATCTCTCGGAGGGAGGCTGGGGTGTCCCCAGCATCCCCAAGCATCTCTTCAGCTCCACTGCCTGCAAGATATTTGGACTGCAAAATAAAACTCTTTTAGCCCCCAGTTTGGCCGCTCTTTGGGTGGGGTTTCCCCAGGAGGGTTTCGCTGTGGCTGCCCTGGTCTGGGAAGGAAGGAGCCAACCCCCTTGTGCTGGGCGCAGACCCCTGTCAACAATTCCCACCCATTCCCACGTGCTCTCCATACATTTTGGGGGTCCCGATGGGCAGCAGCAGGGCCATGCTCGTACACCCCAGGGAGCACAGCACCAGCAGGAGCCTGCTGTGCCCCCAGTGCCAGCCCTTTGTGCCTTGCTGTGCAGCCCTTTCTCAGTTTTGTTTTTTTTTTTTTTTTTCCATTTTTTTTCCCTCTCCAAACACAACAAAACCCCCAAATCCTCCCCGAGTGAGAAGTCTCTTTTTGTTCCTTTTTTCCCACTGCTTGCTCTCGCCGCTCTCTGCCGCGGCAGAGTTATCGATTGGAGCTGATTCCCTGTAATCCGCCCTTTCTGTGAAGAGTTGGCATCCTGGAGCCCCCCGGGGGGGTGGGCCCAATCCTGCCCCCACGCAGGTCTCGCTCCTCTGCCAGGCTCGGGGTGCAGCGGGGCACCTGGGTCCCCCCCATCCCATCCAAGCAAAGCTGGGGGCCAAACGCCAGGTGTGGGGCTGGCACGCAGGGTCGGGCTGTGAAAAGGCTCTGATTTGGGGCAGTGCCATGGGGGACCCTATGGGGTGGGTTTCTGGGGCACCCTCCTGCCCCTCCTGTGTCCCCCAGAGTGTCCCCCCCTCTCGTCCCCTCCTCGCTGCCTCCCCATCTATAATTACCGCCAGCAAATGGGCCGCAGCTCCGGAAAGCGAGGAGGGAAAATATGTATGTACATAAAAAAAAAAAACACACCACCACCCAAACAGCCAAAAAAGCCTCCTGAAAGCACAGCACAGGCAAGGTTTTAATTTAAAACCTTCTCCTGCATGAAGAGCAGCAGCCCGGGCCATCTGGAGGAGCATCTGCAGGTGCCGGGGAGGCGGCGCTGCCTCCCCCAGCTCCCCGGGGAAGGGGCTCGGAGCTGGCCAGGAACAACCCCGGGTGCCCGCGCAGCCCTGGCCGGGGGCTCCCTGCCCAGCCACCGAGGTCTCTCTGCTTAATTGTTGTGTGCGCAGGAAAAAAGTGATTACGAGTCCCAGACGCAAGCTGCGATAGCAACCGAGTTTATTGCGGGAGATTAATTCCGGGGTTTTAATTGAAACTTCGGGAGCAGGGCAGGGAAACGTTGGCCAGGGCTGGCAGGAGAAGGAACGGCCCAGCCGTGCCCGCGGCCATCCCCAACCCCATTCCCGCTCCGAAGCGGCACTCGATGAAACCCCAATTAGCAGATTACTCGTCAGAGGACTCGTCCATTGGCTGAGCATCGCAGCCAGCATCCTAAAGCCCGAAATCTCCTAGCAACTCCCCTGCTTTGCCTCCCTCCACCGGGCCCTGCTTCCCCGGCCCCCCCTTTGGCGCACGCAGCACCCGGTGGCTCCGGAGACATCGGTGGGGGCCGGCAGGGATCTCACCCCCTGCACAAATCCTCAGTGATATGGGAAAGGTGCTGGTGCTGCATGGCTGGGCTGCACAAAATCCTCGGGTTTATGCTTTGATGGCAGAGGTTTGGTTTCTAAACCTGTATCGGAAGGCTTCGTCCTCCCACGTTGGAGACGCTGAGAAAAAAAAAATAAATCAGGGAACCCCAAATCGTGGCCAGACCTCGCAGCTCCTGCCCAGCCCCAGGAGGGGAAGGCAGCCCCCTGGCTTCAACACCAGGCGAATTCCAGCCCTTGGTGGGGAAGTGGATTAGCGGCAGCGAAGCGGCTCTGCTCCTAACCTCTCCGCAAATAAAAACGTCCTTGAAAGGGTAAAATCGCGGCAGGGCGCAGGGGGACGCCCAGGGCCAGGCTGGCTGTGAATCTCCTGCCCTCCCCGTTTCAGTCGGGATCATCAGTGCTTCCCAATCCGTTTATTTCGGGTTCAGAAGGCTGGAAACAAGGGCTGGAAAAATAGCATTTTGTTGGTTGGGAGTTAATATTTGATGTGGGGAAAAAGGGAAAAAAAAAAATAGATTTTTTTTTCTTAATGCCTTAATATTTACAGGCTGGGAAACGCGTCCACAGATCAGGGAGCGCTGAAAAGGATAAATCACTTCCCTTCCTTTAATGTGCTTTGTTGTGCTTTATCTAAAATACAGTCATAAAATTACCAAATTGAAATTTTAAATGGGGGGGGAAGGGGGAATATCTGGAGGGTTTGCTGCTGCTTCTGTTTTCTTATTGCCAAATAAAATACAATTAAAGCAACGTTTTATACGCCAGCCAGCTTAGCGAACACTGGCTTTCTGACGGCACTTTTTTTGTGTCAGCCAATGAAAATAAATGGTGCGGGATTACCAGCGAGCATCCCGCCTCTGGGGCTGGAGGGGGGATCGGGAGCAGCAGGCGTTTTGGGTACGAAACGGAGGGATTTGGGTCCCGCTCCAAGTGGAAATCTCCAGGGGTGTCCAGCCCGGAGCGATGCGCTGCCTCCCCAGGGCTCCCAGTCCTCACCAGCGCCTCCCAGTTCAGCCACTGGTGGGGGGGGACAAAGCCACACAGGGCTCCCAGTGACATCGGGGTGGCCCCAGCTTTTCCCCCAGGGTTTGTCCCCGCTCTCGGCTGAAATCCCTGTGGAAATGGGATCGGGCACCGCTCCCCAGGGGATGCGAAATCAGAGCCGGTGTGGGGCACCACAGAGTGGGATAAGGACACGGCAGATCACGTTATGGGGGTTATTTCCCCTGCTTTAAAGTCTAAGGTGTGACAACAGCTCCCGATTTGTCACGGAGCATCCTGCAGCAGCTCGTGTGGATGGCGAGGGCTGGGGGCTGTCGCCGAGCGCTCGCAGCTCATGGCGGTGACACCGGGCTGGGGGGGGTCATTTGGTGAACGAGGGGGCTCCGGTTCCTTCCCAGGGTTATGGGTTTAGCTGGGAATCTGTCTGGGGTGACCATCTGGTGGCATCTGTGCCGCTCAGCTGTCACCCCCCTCCTGGCAGCGGGGACACACGGGGTACCCCGTGGTATTGGGGTACAACGGGGATGCGCACGGGGCTCAGGACCATGGCACAGGGGGTAGGGGGCAGCCGTGCCAGGCACGTCCGTGGCTCCTGCCGCAGTGGGGACAGACGGACAGACGGACGGACGGATGGACAGATGGACAGGTGGGCTAGCATGGGGAGGCAGGGCAGGACGCACAGCTGAGCCTCCTTAGCAGACGAGGTGGCCTCAGGTGATGCCAACATCCCATTAAGGGGGTTTATCAAGGGAGGCCGCCCCTTTTAGCTGAGATGCTGCTTTTGGGCTGTGAGAGCCTCAGCTCCTGCTCGTTAATTAGTGAGGCTGCGGGGAGGTTTGTGCTGGTTGGCCTCAGCGAGCAGCCGTAATGTGATGGGTGATTAGGGACTCCCAAGCTCTTCTGTGGGGGTCGTTAAGCTACGGATGGACTCGGGCAGGGAAAGGGCATTTTTGGCTGTGCCCTAAAACCAGCTGGTCCTGCACTGCCCCTGCTCGTGGTCCTGATGTCCTGGGCCATCGGGAGGTGAGTGATGGGTGTGCGTGAGATGGAGAGCTGGCCAGGCTGAGAGAAGCTGGGAGGTTTCTCTTCTCTGTCTGGCAGGCGTGGAGAAAATCTGGGCACGGTCAGCCCCAGAAAGGGAGCGTGTCCCCATCCCATCCTCCTCTCGCCCCCTGAGACGCACAAATGCTACGGCAAGGCAGGGACCTGGCAAGAAATCAGCCAGGTTTTTGCCTCCCTTCTCCCTCCTCTCCTGCCTTGGCAAAACTTCCTGCAGTGCCGCAGCATCCTGCCACGGCGCGGTCTGCTTGGCATCGCCTGTGCTGTATTTATGGCAGCGTTAATTAAATACCCTCTGCAATCAGCGCCACGCACGACCCTGCTTCCCGAGACGAGGCTGGGCTGTGACGTGCCATCACCGAGCAGGAATGTGACTGCCGCCGTCCTGGGGAATCTCTAACGGAGATTTACTCATCCCAGGCCTCCCATTTCTCCGTTTCATGACATTTCGCAAAGTTCAGGTTTACAAAATAAGCCGCCACAACGAAGGGATGCTCCAGATGTTATTTACTCTCCACGCGCCACCTCCTGCTCGGTGGGGTCTTCGTCCCATTCCCTGTGGAGCCGAGGATGGGGTGCCAGCCCAGGGCCACCACATCACCCCACTGCAAAGCCCCTGGTGCTGGAAATTCTCGCTCTGTGCCCACCTCGGTGTGCGCGGGGAGAAGCTGAGCTCTGCGGCTGTGCTCCCTCTAATCCTACACCCGTCACAGGGGGCAGGACGTGCTTGGAGCAGGAGGATGGAGCACGGTCCCGATGCCACCCTGGAGGATGCAGCACGGGGAGGTGGGGCTGCTGCCCCTCCAGTGGTGCCATTTGGGGTGCTGAGCCGCTCTGCTTTTAGAAGTAGACGAGGGCTAGAAGCTGGTGAGCTTTCCCCTCGGGGTATCTTGGGGTGCCAGAGCTTCCCAAGCTGCTCACAGCACCTGTTTGCATCCCGTACCCAAATCCTGGTGACCAAACCCTCTGTCCTCTTCCTCGGGATGGAGCTCACCACGGGAGCCTCGTACTCAGCTACGGGGAGGGCAGCTCATCCTTTCTGGGGAAGGATCTGCTGGAACCCAAGCACGTGCCCATGGTGTCCACCTCGTGGTGCCCAGCCCTTGATGCATCCCTCATCATCCCAGGCTGCCTCCTGGTGCCGGGGTCCCTCTGGAGGGGATGGAGCTGTTACAGGTCCCATGCTACGGAGCCACCTCTGCCCTCCAGGTGGTGGCACCAGGTCGGGGTGAAGCTTGTGCCCGTGTCCGGGTTCCCCCCAAAGCCCTGCCACACTCACACCATCCCTGTCCTGGCTCTGTTTGGGGCCGTGGGAGGGACGGGGCCGCGGGGTCTCGCACACCTCGCTCCCAGCCCGGTGCCTGCCTTGTCAGGTCTGATCAGGAGGAGGATCAGTCGGCCCCGCGCGCTCTCTCCAGATTTAATTAACGGGCCTTTCATCTCTACCCTGAAGGAATCTGCTATCTTCTGTCTTCTTAATTAACGTTCATTAAGCAAATCAGAAGAACACTTTCTCCCCACCACCTCCATGGATCTTAACCCTTACGAGGTGCCAGGTCCGTGCCAGGGCAGGAGGCTCCTGGGCCGCGAGGCCAGCTCGGGTGGTGCCTGGACACAGGAGCCTTGGTCACCATGTCTCTACCTCGCTTGGACCAAAGAGAAAACCCTTCTGGGTGCAGAGGGCTTCAGCTGAGGTCAGGCCCTGCTCTACTGGGGGAAATGGGGAAATTCCCAGCTCTGGCTGCTCTTTTGGGCATCCCTGTCCGAGGCAGTCCATGTCCCAAATGACAAGGGGTTTCCCACAGCCTGCTTTAGCTCTTCATCCCGGCTGGGGTGAAGCTCTCCTGTGGGAAGGGGACACATCTGTGTGGTTGGGTTTATTTAGAGGTTTATTTTGAGGTTATTTAGATTTGCTCCTGTTCCTGTGGCCTGAAGTTGGACGTGGTGGCTGTGGGGTGCCAAACCCACGCCGTGAGAGCCCCTCTCCAACACCCAGCTGGCAGCCGGAGCGCACCTGGCGAGCCTCACCCATGCGGGCTGGTGGCAGAGATGCTCAGGGCGAGCACCAAGCTGCAAACCCTCTTTATTTTCTTCCCCAGAGCCCGGCAGTGGCTTTGCCATCGGCTCCCAGGCATCAAGGCAAGGCTCGGCGCTGGGAAATTCGCCCCCCCGGCGGAGCTGTCAGGGCCGGGTCAATATATGTTAATGGGGCTTGGAAGCGGCGCTGCTGCCCGAGACCTCTGATTCACAGCTCCCCTCCGGTGCTTTCTCCCCGCAGCGCGCACGGAGAAGGAGAATAAAATAAATAAGAGTGGAAGGGAGAGGGAGGGAGCTTAAATTATAGATGAGGGCTAAGTTGCCCGTGTTTCTGTGGGCAGAGCGGGGGCAGTGGAGGGGTTCCCCTGCGCACCCCCTTTCTGCTAATGCACCCAGTGTGGAACGGGGCTGGTGCAGGGTGCAGGTGGTGCTGGTGCAAGCCTGAGTGAGGTTTCCCTGGCACAGGGTGTGTGTGCAATTGGTATTCCTTGCTGAAGGGGTTCGGTGGCCATCTGGAGTCTGGTTTGGCCACCCCGTGGGGACGTGCCCTCGCCCTGGCAGCAGGCAGGGTGGGCCCCCACCTCTGGGTGCTGGTGTGGGGGCACCGGGTGGGTCACAGATTGGTGTGGGTGGGGAGCACAGGGGTGGTGCTGGGTCTGCTTCAAAGCCTTTCCCACACCTCCTCGTGGGTTTCAGGCTGGTGACCCTCCCAAACCTAAGAAAAAAACCTGCGTTGGGAGGGAATCCCCACGGGCTCACCCCCGGTGCTGAGAAACGGAGATGCTCAGCTCCATCTCAGCAGCCAAAGACCCAAACGCAGCCGTCCCCAAAGTGATGGGGTGGGGACGCACCAGCCAGAGGGGTCCTCAAGTGCCCAGCCCCACGGCCTGGGGACCAGGGTGGCGTGTGGGATGCTCCCACCCCGCAGCCCAGCGTCGCATGCAAAGCTTTTGACATTCCCAGCAGCTTCCACAAGATGGACCTCGGAGCGAGAGGAGGTGCCGGGCATGGGGGGGAGCCTTGTCCCATCCCTTCCCATCCCATTTTGTCCCATCCCTCCTGCTCCCACCGTGCCAGCTGGAGGAGGCTCAGCGTCCTGCGAGGCGAGCCTGGGACATGGCACAACCCGGGGGGCTCTGCCTGCTGGCCCTACTGGGGCTGGGGTTTGGGGTGGGGGGCTCCCCAGCCTGCTACGACCCCCGGGGCCTGCCCCGTCGCTGCATGCCCGTTTTTGAGAACGCCGCTTTTGGCCGTGCCGCTTGGGCCACCAACACGTGCGGCTCGCCCCCCGAGGACTACTGCCAGCAGATGGGGGCTCGCCACGCCAGCCAGCTGTGCCAGCGCTGCGACGCCGCCGACCCCCGGCTGCACCACAACGCCTCCCTCCTCACCGACTTCCACAGCCAGGAGGAGAGCACCTGGTGGCAGAGCCAGTCCATGGCTTTCGGCATCCAGCACCCAAATTCCGTCAACATCACGCTGCGGCTGGGTAGGCGAGGGAAGAGGAGTTTGGGGACAGGGGGTGCTGAGCCCCCGGGTGCTGGGAGGTGGTGGTGGGAGGTGGTGGTGCTCCAACAGCCCGGTGCTGGTTTGGGGGGGGAGGTGGGATGCTCCACACCCCCGCTTTTTGGGGTGCGAGTTCCTCTTTGTAAAGACCGTGTATTTTTGTGGAGCGGGAGGCAGGCAGGTCCCCCTGCCCTCACCACTCACCTGGGAGCCTTCTGCGTTTTGGGTAAGCGCTGGGGGTGCAGAGCCCGTTCCCCATCATTCCAGCACATTGTTGGGGGTGCCCCATATATCCTGGGGAGGTCACAGCTCTGCAAACACCACGCAGCCCCGGCAGGTTTCCCCAGCTGAGATCTGACCCCTCTGTTTTAAATATTGGGCAAGCCGCACGTTCAGGGGGTGCGTAAAGCCTATGGGATCATGCCTGGCATTTTAAAAAGTTTTTCTCTTTTTTTTTTTTTTTTTTTTTAATTTTTTTTTTCCCTCTCTACATTTTGCTGCCATCTAAACTATCTTGGCTACCGGCCAGCTCTGTAAAATCTTCATTCTCTGCTGTCTCCTGCCATCTGCATGCTGAAGGGGGGTAGCGAGGGGCTGCAGCAGGAGCGGCACAAGCAAGGAACGGGGCCGGCCGAGCGCTGTGTGGGGCCGAGGGGTGGTGGCGGGTCGGTCTGTGCCCTGCGGGGACGCTGAGCTGCCCGGCTGGGTGGAGGTCACCCCGTTCCCAGCCCCCTGTGTGTGGGCAGACATCTGGTCTGTGTCCCAGGCTGGGCATGGATCCCCACCGTGTGTGAGAAGTGAAGCTGGAGGAGCCGGCCCTGCTCCTGCGCACCCCGCAGGAGGGGACCTGCCAGTCCCTCAGCCAGGATGGGGTCACCCCAAAATTGGGTATGGGTGATCTGAATGCAGCTGGGACGGCCGAGCAAGCCCCTGGTGCCCCCAGGAGCCATCCCCAGGATGTCTGGGTGATCTTGCAGACACTGGTCCTGGCTCAGCACCCCGAAGCGTGCGGGCTCCTGGCACGTTGTGCGCCCCAGACCCCAAGCTCAAGGCTCGCTTTCCAGCCTCTGCCTTCCCTCTGCCTCTTCTCAGCCCCTCTGTGGGCTGGCGGAGCCCTGGTGCACCCTCCACTCGTGTTCCCCATGGAGCCTTTTGTGGTCTCATATGAGGCCCTAATGCCGCACCGAGCTTGTCTTCAGCCCCCGCCAGCGCACCCTCTGCAAACAGACCTGGTGCCCCTTCTCCCTGTATGCCTCATATATCTCTTTATGCTAAAAAGTGCCATTTTTGTGCCCAGCACATTGCTGTCTGACCTTTCCCAGTGCCGCTGGGCCCCATTCTTGTCCCAGCTGCAGACGATTTTCTCGTTGTTTTAATGCTTTCATTTGGGTTATGGAGGAAAAGCCCCAAAAGCTGTACCGAGCCCAGCCCCACAGCCCCTGGGACATGGCCCTGGACACATCCTCGCACCCATGGCTGCTGTGAGGGGTTTGTGACCCACGTGGCGTGTCCCCAGCAGCCCGTTTGTCCCACTCCGACGTGGCCAGGCACCTTGTAGGGCCCCCAGCACCATTACCTGGGGAGCTTATTAAACAGGGTTTGGAATGAATTGGACGAGACGTGTGTTTACCTGTAGGCTGTTGATTGGCATTAATTAGATTATCCTCCCTTAAATCTCGCTTCTCGGCAAGGCTTCAGCTGTGCCGTTACGGTGCTCAGGCCTCCGAGCAGATCAATAACCTCAACTGCCTGTGGCTGTTGCGTTTCCCCTGGCAGGGAGGAACCCAAAATATCTGCAGGCTTGCGAAGGCAAAAGGCAGCAGAGCGCCTCGGGTGGCTCCTCGGCAGCTCCCCGAGTGTGGATGTTGGATGTAGGTGTGCCTGGGGTAGGGAGCATCTTCGTGTCCGTGGCCCTGGTGTTGATTTTCTTACGGGATCTGAGCCTCCTGGAGCTGGGGCTGGGGGTGGCTGGGCGCACAAGGGGACGTGGCTGTTCCCTGAGCTCCTCTCCAAGCTCTCCCACCCCCAGCATTTCACCAGCTATAATTTCATCCTTAGAGGAGGCGAGCAACCACTTTGCTTGGAGATAACGTAACTGAGAGGGGAACACGGGAGTCCTGGTGCCCATCCCCTCCCTTGGCCACCCGTGTCCCCATCCCATGGTGTCCCCATCCCACGGCGCGCCCAGCTCCGGGCTGTGCCCAACCTTCCCGAAGCAGGAAAGTGACATCCAGCCTGCGGTCACGGGCTGTGTTTGGGATTTCTTGGGAGGAAGCGATCACAATTTGGCTGATTCAAGGGACTGTCTGGAGAAATCACGCGTTCAGCCAGGACAACTGCAGCGAGCTTTCTCCGCCCCAGCTCCAGACCCCGAGCTGGCCCCCCTGGCCCTCCCGTCCCCCTCCCCTGCAGCGGGGCCGCCTGGGGCAGGGGCTGTTTATTGACACAGCTCCCAGCTCCGGCCCTCTCCCAGAGGAAAGTGCTCGGCGAGGCGACTGCCCCGACCCCTCTGTTTGGGTAGGCGTCCCCCGGGGCCGCGCTGTCTGGGAACCGGCGCCCGCTGGGGCTCCCCGCGGGGTCTGGGGCAGGGGGCACCCCACAACCATCAGCGAGACCAGGGCCTGGCAGGTTTGGGGAGAGGTGCAGGGGAGCAGAGAGGCAATGGGGTAGCCTGGCTGTGCTGTTCCATCCCCTTCTCAGCCGTGGTCACCTCCCTTTAATCCCGTGTCCCCCCGCATCCCTGATGGGAGGCAGCTGCTTTCCCCAGCGCCGGTAGCCGGGGCTGGCTTGGCTCCCCCACAGCCAAATCGCGGTACATATGCGACAGAATTCATATGGGCCCAATTAAAGGCTTGTTTTCCTAGTCCCGGAATAACCCCTCTAACATTCCCAACTCATTATCTTTTCAAATAAAGCCAAAACCTCGCAGCTAATTGTTTTGCGCTGTCAGGAGCGGCGCTGTTATGGAGCAATCCAGTCTTTGAGCCGCTCCTTCATCTCTGGCAATTAAACGGTTCTGATGTTCGCTTTGGTATATTTTTTTCCCCCCTTTTGGTAAGACTTTCAAGTGATTTCAGAGCTGTGCCGGCCACTCTAGGGACTGGCATCCTCTCTTTGTCTTCAGCCCAGCAAAGCCAGCAGCAGTGCCAGACCCCGGCGTGCAGCTCCCTGGAGAGGGACCGGCCTTGACCCTCTCCGCCTCTCCATCCTGTCCCCAGTGCAGCTCTGGAGATGCTGACGAGTGCCGGGGGCCTGATTCTTCCCACCCAGCTGCTGGGCAGACCCCGGCTTTGCACCATCTCCTGGCCCACGCAACCCTCCCGAAGCCTCCACGCAGCGACCAGGAGGCTGCAGAGGGGGCGGGAGGAGATTTGGGGCTGGGCAGGATCAGGGCTGCATCGAGCAGAAGGTGGTGAAGGGCAGCTGGGCAGGAGGAAAGCAAATTCTGCCACTTTCTGCTGCATGGTGCAGCTCTTTGTGCCTCCGGAGATGCAGACGGGGAGGAAACGGGTGGGTTTCGGGTGGAAACGCTGATTGTAGGGGATGCGGGCTGGGGGTGTGCTCGCTGGGACCAGCACCATGGGGCCGTGCAACCCCTCTGGGTGCTCCCCTACCACTGCGGTGAGGAGAGGGGCACGGGACAGGGAACTGGGACGATTTTGCTCCTGTTCCTGGAGACCTTTGTGCCAACGGGGGCAGGAGACGATGACGGTGCTTTGGGGGGCCGGGGGTGTCTTTCCCTAGGCAAAGCTTACGAGATCACCTACGTGCGGCTCAAGTTCCACACCAGCCGCCCCGAGAGCTTCGCCATCTACAAGCGCTGGCCGCTGCCGACGGGCCCTGGGTGCCCTTCCAGTACTACAGCGCGTCCTGCCTCAAGACCTACGGCAAGCAGCCCAGGCACTACCTGAGGCCGGGCGAGGACGAGCAGGTGGCCTTCTGCACCGACGAATTCAGCGACATCTCCCCCCTGAGCGGGGGCAACGTGGCCTTCTCCACCCTCGAGGGCCGGCCCAGCGCCTACAATTTTGATGGGAGCCCCGCGCTGCAGGTGCTTGGGGTGGGAGAGGGGTGGGTGTAGGGTCACCGGGGTTTGGGGGGGAGTATTCGTGTTGTTCCTGCTGCCCCCCGGATGGGAGGGGTGCTGGGTGAGACCTGGTTGGGGTGGGGAGTTGGTGGCCCCGACCCCTCTCCAAGACGCCTTCCCCATGTCCCCTGCAGGAGTGGGTGACCGTCACCGACCTGCTCATCTCCCTGAACCGCCTCAATACTTTTGGGGACGACATCTTCAAGGACCCCAAGGTGCTGCAGTCGTACTACTACGCCATCTCCGACTTCTCCGTCGGCGGCAGGTGAGGGGTGGCCGGGCGGGATGGGACAAGGCTGCAGGGTTGGAAACTGTCCATGGGAGTGCGCATGGGGCTTGTGACAGCTGCTCCCCAGCTCAGCCTTGTTTAATTGCATTTTGGGGGCAAATTATTTAGATGGGAACACAGATTCTCCATCTGCAAACTGGAGCTGGCAGTGCTGGCGAGTGCCTTTCCTTGGGCAGGGGGTTAGGAAATGGCCATCAGACACCACGCTCCACCCCGGTGAGAGCCGACTGCCCCCAGGCAGCGAGGCCAGGGATGCTCCCAGCTGGCCGGGAGCCCTCTTTGCTTTCTGCCCCTCCTGGGCTCCAGCAGCTGGAGCTGGTTAGCGTCCCGCATGGGCCACCCTCAGCGTGTGACCTCCCAGCTGGCCGGGCCGGCAGCAGCCTCAGGGACAAGGCGGGCGGCCTCGGTGCGAGCACAACCCGAGCTGTCACTGCCCCACGGCCCCAGCAGCGTGGGCAGTGCCCCACTGCATCCCGTACTGGTGCTCAGAGCAGCTCGTCCCCATGCTGGGGTCTTTTCACAGGTGTAAATGCAACGGCCACGCCAGCGAGTGCGCGCCGGACGAGACGGGACGGCTGGCGTGCGTGTGCCAGCACAACACGGCCGGCACCGACTGCGAGCGCTGCCAGCCCTTCTACCAGGACCGGCCCTGGGCTCGCGGCACCGCCGAGGCCGCCAACGAGTGTCTCCGTGAGTGGCACCGGGGGCTGCGCACAGGCTGGTGGCGTGGTTGCGCTGGGAAGGAAGCGCCTGCAGCGTTTTGCACGGCTGCTGCAACCAGGGAGGGTGGATTTGCACCCCAGGGCCCCCATTCACAGCATCACCCCAAGGACCCCGCAGCATTTTTTCACCCCATGATTGCAGCCATCAGCCCCAAGTGCGGTGCCGTGCCACGGTGCCACACTTTGAGCACCATCAATACCTCGTGCTGCTGCGCCGAGCATCCCCTCCACCCCAACCCACCCCCAGGGCTCATCCCCTGTGGCCCTCGGGGTCCCAGCCTTTGCTGACCATCCCCTTCCTTGCCTTCCCCCCCAGCCTGTAACTGCAGTGGCCGCTCGGAGGAGTGCTTCTACGACCCGGAGCTGTTCCGGAGCAGCGGGCACGGGGGGCACTGCCGCCACTGCCGCGACAACACGGCCGGGCCCCGCTGCGAGCGCTGCCGGCAGAACCACTACCGCTGGGAGCCTCAGGGCCGCCTGCCAGCCCTGCCACTGCCACCCCGCAGGTGCATGGGGTGCTGCTGGGCACGGGGAAGGTGTGGGAGGGAAGGGTTTGGTTGGGGATGTCCCGTTGTGCTTGTCCCAGCGGTGTTGTACCACCGGGTTTGGGCAGGCTCAGCTCGGGGATGGGGTGGGACTCTGGAAAGGCTCAGGTAGGGGTTTATGCCCCGAGGAGTCAATGTGGCCATAATTCCCCATCTGCCCGCTGCCCTGCAGGGATCTGTGCAGCTTCCAGATCATACAAAGCTGATTCCCCACACCCCCATCACCCCAAGAGGGTTAATCCACCCTACCCAGGGCAGGCTCCTCACCATAGCATGCGTCACCGAGCCTGGCCTCAGGAACAAGGTCCCCCTGTCACCCCCCTGGGTCTCCCCCTAATCTGGGGATCGCTCAGGCTGGCCGGGTCCCCGCAGGCTCCCTGCATCCCCAGTGTGACAGCTCGGGGACCTGCACCTGCAAGGCCAACGTGACGGGCTGGAAGTGCGAGCGCTGCAGGGACGGCTACCACAGCCTCAGCCAAGGGGGCTGCAGGTGAGGGGGAGCCCGGCCGTGGTGTGGGGGGCACAGGATGGGATCGGGGATCGTCTCACGCCTTCATCTCACCCCATCCAGACCCTGCGCCTGCGACCCCGCTGGAAGCGTGGGCACCTGCGACCCCAACACGGGACACTGCGCCTGCAAGGAGAGGGTGGAGGGGCACCTCTGCAACAGGTCAGCACCGCGGCACGGGGGTGGGAGTGGGACCGTGGCCCCTTTCCAGGCTGGGGTCAGTGCAGAGTAGGGATCTTTGCTGCTGTGGGGCATCGCTGCTTCCCCAGCCCCTAAACACAGCCCCTTGCGGGGGGATTTGCAGTGGAAATCCTGTGGGGTCGCTCCTTATGGAGGCTGGGGGTGCATCCCTCTGGATCACTGGGACTGGGCTGACTTGGAGCTGCCACCACTGTGGTCCCCTGCCCCTGCCATATGTTTTGTCCCCATATCCAGGTGCCAGCCCGGCTGGTTTAACCTCCAGCCCCACAACCCCTGCCGGCTGCACCAGCTGCTTCTGCTACGGCCACTCGGCTGTCTGCACAGCAGCGACCGGCTACGAGGTGACCCACGTGCGCTCCGACTTCAGCCGAGGTACCAGGGCAAAAAATGGGGGGCCCCAGCTCCACAAGGGCCCGGGCTTCTCAGGGCATTTCTCCATCCTGTTGTGCTCCTGGGGCTGGGCACAGCTGCTTTGGCACACTACAGGAACACCTTAAAAAAAAAATAAAAAATGGGTCAGATAGATAAAAATTAAAAGGACAGAACCCAGTGGGAACTTTTCCCCTTTCCCTCTCCTCTCCCTGCCTGCAGCCAGGATGGAGCAGGGGGGGGGATTTTCCCAGCCAGGGCTGTGCGTGGCTGCCGGAGCTGCGTGCGTGCGGGATGCTCAGGGAAACCCTGCCATCTGCCGCGCAGCACGGCGCGTGCAGCACGGGCACGCCTCGGCACCACCACCAGCACCTACGGGCACCTGCTGTGGGGTGCTTCACCCACACCCCAGTGCTGTGGGGACAGCGAGCCTTTATCCCGTTTGCAGTTAAGCCCCGCTGCCGGTTGCTGTCCTGCTGTCTTGCACAGCCTTGAAGAGGAGCCAGGCTTTGTGCCGCGTCTTCCCCGCTTCCTTCCTGCAGCAGTCTCGCCAGGCTGCTCGTTTAGGGACGGATTTTTCCAAACCTTGGGGCCAGGCTGCAGGGCTCGGTGCTGCCGGGTGGCAGCGATCGGTGCTCCCGTAGCTCCCCCAAACGCTCCCAAAGCTGCAGCTGGGCCGGATCAGCCGGAGGTTTCCTGTGCTGCGTGGAGGGGCCAGCAGCCCAGACAGGGGTGGTTTGATAATCCAGGGCAGCCCTCTTGATATCCGGGGGGGGAAACATCCAAGTGTTTGTCCCGGGGGTGCCAGAAATAAATAATCACCGGGAGTGGGGGAGAGTTGAACCCGTTTCCGAAGGGAACCAAGGTAACGCGATGACGGCCGCCTCGCTGTGCTTCCTGTGCTCTCCAGCCCACGGTAACTTCTGGACTGCAGCACAGGCAGGGGGGCAAAAGTTGAAAGATAACAATTTCCTCCGAATCTAAGAAAACAAACAGATGGGGAGGAGACAGCGAGGGCTACCGTGAGAGCACAGAGCCCGAGCGGAGCAGGGTGCTGCAAAGCGCTGGCTCCTTACGAAACCCTGGGGAGGTTCAGGGGCAGGGATGGAGCCCCGAAAAGCAGCACCCTGGGGTGCTGGGCACACGGGGGGTTTCACCACTCCCTTTTGCCCCTGCACCACCGCTGTGCTCTTCCTGCAGGGCTGGAGGGCTGGGCGGCAGCAGCGGGTGCCGTGGCCGTGCCTCTGCGCTGGGCTGCTGGGGAGGTGAGCGCCGAGTGGGATGGAGAGGAGCCGCTGGATTTTCTTGCACCAGGTACGTGCTGGGCTCCTGGGGTCCTGCTCTGCTGCTGGGCCCCCCCGGTTCTCTCGTGAGACAACCTACTGCTGAACTGGGTGGGTTGGAGCTGGCCCTGCTGCAGGAGGGCGACCAGGCTTCACCTCCTGTTGATTCTGGTGGGAACAGAACCGTGCCAGGGGCTCCTGAACTGTTCCCACCCGGCATCATGGGCACGTCGCGGGTACATCCACATGGGTACATCCACGCCCTTCAGATTTTCCTCCTCTTTCCTCTTGCAGAGAAGTTTCTGCAGAACCAGCACCTCAGCTACGGGCAGCCCCTGACCCTGCTGCTGGGAGCAGAGGGGAACGGGACTGGGACAGAGAGCAGGGTGCCCCAGCTCCGCGTCCAGCTGGTGCTGGAGGGCGAGGGGATGGAGGTCACCATGTCCAGCAGCGAGAGCCAGCCACGGGATGGAAAGCAGGCTGTCACCTTCAGGTACCTGTCGTGGTGCTTTGGGGATTCTCGGGTGACTTAGGGGACACTTGGGGATCTTGCCAGGGCTACCTTGTGCTGGGGGTTCAGCTCCGCTCCCAGACCCCCTGGGGGTTTCACCGTGTGCCCCATCAGTGGGGGAGCTGAGCTGTCCTGTGGGGGGAAGCTGTCCCTCTGGCTGTCCTTCCTCCCACACTCCTCTCCAACAGGCTACATGAGGCTGAGGAGGGCACGGAGCCTTCGCTGTCGGCCTTCAGCTTCCAGCGCCTGCTCTCCAACCTGAGCGCCCTCCGCCTCCGCGTGAGCACCGGGCCAGGTGGGTGGCTCCTTGGGTGTCCTGTGGGGACTGGGATGGTCTGGGGACAGCAGAACAGCACTGAAACAGGGACAAGAGGCACCCACAGGGATATTTTGGGGTCTCCCGTGGGAGTCTGGAGTATTTCTATGCAGGATGGAGAGACGGGGCTGGGGCTGTGCCATCCTGGCCTCACGCTGCTGTCCCCTCTCGCAGGCAGGCTGGTGCTGAGCGAGGTGCGGCTCACGTCGGCTCGCCCCGGGCCGGGTGTGCAGGCAGGCTGGGTGGAGGAGTGTGCGTGTCCCCCGGGATACAGCGGGCAGTTCTGCCAGTCCTGCGCTCCCGGCTTCAAGCGGGACGTCCCCTTCGGTGGCCCCTTCGTCGCCTGCGTGCCCTGCGCCTGCAACCAGCACGGGGACTGCGAGCCCCGCTCAGGTGCGCACCCCCAGCCCCTCTGCCCCATATCGTGAGATGTACGGGTAACAAATCCTTGTCTCTGCTTATTCTGAGGGATGCTGGAGACTATCCTGGAGGTCACCATGGCCGAAATTTGCAAGCTGAATTGCTCTCCTGCCAGCAACGTGGATGGCTTTAGTCAGGGGAGGGGAGGATTGTCCTGGAGCTGGAGGTGGCCACACGAATCCGGCACCAGCCTCGCTGCGTGGCACACATGGCCTCATGGCCCTGCTGGTCGTCAGCTCTGGGGAAATGCAGATCAGAGGCTCATGAAATGCTGCCCTGCTGCCTGTCCATCCCTGCAGGAAGCAGCAACTGAGATCGGTGCTGGGAAGAGCTTGGAAAGGAGACGTTTGGTACCCGGACAGGGCCCCTGGCCCAGGCGCCCTCGCTGGCAGGCTCGCTGCGGAAAGGAACAACAATAGCTTATGGCTGGGATGGGAAGGGCTGCAAGAGGCGTTTTCTTCAGCAAGTGCCTCTGCCCTGCCAGTGGAAACACAGCAGCGGGGCTGCAAATTCGCCCCTTGTCCGGACTGGGGCTGGCACCGCCAGCTGCACAGTGCCTGGGGACAGGGCCAGACCTTTGATGTCCCAGCCCTTGTGCTGCCAGCCCGAGCCAGCCTCCACACTTCCCTTTGCTGTTTTTTTCCACTCCTTTCCGCCACCCACTTTTCCTTTCTTTTCCATTGCCCGGCTCCTCCCAAATGTGGGGAAAATGGAGAAATGCCCGTTCCCTCCCGCACCACCCGCCTGGTACGACCCAACCCCTCCTGCTCCTCTTCTCCCTCTCCAGTAAGCAAAGCAGCTGCTTGGAGGTGGCGAGTCCTTGAGCATCCTTCCTCCTTCTCCTCCTCCTCCTCCCAGCTGACTTGGGATGGCCGTGACTCACCGGCTCGGCTCGCAAGGAGACGCTCGCTCCCTGCTGGGTCGCAGCCGCCTGCTGGTGTTTTCCATGAGAGGGGCCGCGCGGGCTGGAAGCAGGGCTGCTCGTCGCTGAGAAATGTGGTGTCGATTATTGCAGGCGCCAGCAGACTCTGTGCACGGTGGCGGGGCTTTCTGCGCTCCCCCTCATCCCCTACAAACCATCCTCCCCCAGAGCAAGGACTGGGCAGAGAGGGGAAAACGTTCTGAGTTTGGTTGGGAACACACAATCCCCGTGTGGCCCTTTGCCTGGAGCTGCGCGTCCCTCCAGCACCCACCTCTCCCTTTTTCCTCCTCGCAGGGCAGTGCCGGTGCCTGCACAACACAGAGGGGCCCTCCTGCGAGCGCTGCAGCCCCGGGTTTTATGGCAACCCCTTCGTGGGGCGCTCCGATGACTGCAAGCCCTGCCCGTGCCCCGACCGCTCGCCCTGCACCGAGGTGCCCGGCAGCGGGGAGGTGGTGTGCACCCACTGCCCCCCGGGGCAGAGAGGTGAGCCCGGGGTGGGCCAGGGGGGCTGCGGGCAGCCCTGCTCCCTCCCCATATTATTAGTGGGACCCTCCCACTAATTATTTTTCCACCTTCCCTAGGGAAACGCTGCGAGCTGTGCGACGATGGGTTTTTCGGGGACCCCTTGGGGCAGAGGGGCCCCGTGCATCCCTGCACCCCCTGCCAGTGTCACGGGAACGTGGACCCCAACGCCGTGGGGAACTGCGACACCGAGTCCGGCCGGTGCCTGCGCTGCCTGCACAACACGACGGGCGAGCACTGCCAGGAGTGTCAGCCGGGCTTCTACGGGGACGCGCTGGCCCCCTAGCCCCGCCGGGAAGTGTGCGCGTACGTATGGCTTGGTCCTGCTCCCCCCCATCCCACCCCCAGCAGGGCAGGCAGAGGGGGTGCCCACTGGGCTTAGGGGCTGATGGATGGACCAGGTTGGCCCCAAAAGCTCAGGAATGGCTTTTTGTCCCCTCTCTCCACTGCCATCCTCATTCCCCGCAGACATCCTGCTCTGCAGGGGCTCAGCCCCAAAGCCCTATTTGATGAAGGGATGTGGCCCCCTACAGCACAGGGGGCTCGTCCCCCAGCCCCTATTCCTGCTGTCTCACCCGACAGCCCCTTATTGGGATGTAAGCAGTGTTTTATCTCCCGTAGCTTGCGATTGCAACCCCAATGGCTCAGCCCCGGGGCCGGAGGGCTGCGATCCCAGCACGGGCCAGTGCCGCTGCCTCCCGCACGTGACGGGCAGGACCTGCGGGCTCTGCCAGCCCGGCTACTACGGGCTGCAGCCCACCGTGGGCTGCAAGAGGTGCGTGTGGGGCACGACAAAAGGGGCAGCAGGGGCTCCTGCTCTTGCTCCTTGCTGCCTGCTCATCGCTCTCCGCTCCTCGGTGCCAGCTGCGAGTGCCACCCGGCGGGGTCGCGGGACAGCGGGTGCCACGCGCTGACGGGGCAGTGCTCCTGCCAGCCGGGTGTCACGGGGCTGCGCTGCGACAGATGCGACCACGGCTTCTTCGGATTCTCTGCCAAGGGCTGCCGAGGTAACCGGGAATGGGGGACACCACCTCGGTCCCAAAATTGGGGCTGGCAGCCGCAGTGTGATGCCTTCCTGTCACCGTTGCAGCCTGCAACTGCTCCCCGCTGGGCTCCGTCACGCCGCAGTGCCACGAGAACAGCACCTGCGTCTGCCGCCCCGGCTTTGTGGGTTACAAGTGCGAGCAGTGCCAGGCCAACTTCTTCCCCGACCCGCCGAGCTCCCGCTGCCTGCCGTGCCCCTCCTGCTACGGGCTGGTGAAGGACGGGGTACGGCCCGCGCCCTGCCGAGGCGGTGAGGTGCCCCGGTCCCCGTGCCGTGTCACCGTGCCCCACATCTCGCCCACAGGCTGACCGGCTGAAGGCGAAGCTGCAGGAGATGGAGGAACGGCTGCAGACCCCAGGCTGTGATGTCCCCTCGGGGCAGTCCCTGGTGCTGGGTGATGCGCCCCGGGGAGACGGGCTGCCCGGCAGGCACCTCCTGCAAGGTATGGGGCAGCACCTTCCACCAGCACGGGGGCAGCAGAAAGCCTCCTGTCACCCCTGCAGGGACGCTGTGCCCCTGGGGGGTTGCCCAGGAGGGGCTCTTTTCCCCTTTTAATCAGAGAGGGGTGCTCAGGCTCAGGGTGGAGATGCCGCATGCAGGCACCCAAAAGCTCATTGCACTGCCCGCAGGTGCCCGGGCCGTGCTCTCCATGCAGGTGGGGCGGCTGGCGGGGGTGCTGAGCACCGCACGGGGCCGTCTCAGCAATGCCAGCCAGGCCAGCGGCTGCTCCGACCACAGACACCCCAAAACGTGCGTCCTGCTGTCAGAGATCGGGGCCGTGCTGCAGTCAGCGCAGCGGGAGGTGCTGCACGCTGCCGACACCCTGGCTGCCACGGTGCGGGGTTCGGGAGGCTCCGGGGACTGGTGGCTGGGCTGGGGTGGGATGCCAGTGGCACAGGAGGGGTGAGAGGGAAAGCCTGGGGTCCCCAGTGAGTGTAGCCTCGGGGTCTCACTGCTTCTCCTTGCGTTTGAAGGAGATTCCCCAGGAAATCCCCCCGCAGCCCACCAACTGGAGCCGCCTGGCGCTGGAGGCACGGGCACTGGCTGAGAGGTACGGGGGCATCCTGCACCATGGCACTGCAAGCCTGGCAGCTGTGATGCTGGCACACAGAGGAGGCTGCCTGCCTGGCTGGGGGATGTGGGGTGGCCTCTCCTCCCCAGAGGACACCTCTCTGGGTGCCCTTCTCCCTGCAGGCACAGGGATGCGATGGCACAGGTGGAGGCGATGGTCGGGAGAGCGCTGAATGTGTCCAAAGCCAGCCACGAGCTCCTGCAGGGCTTGCTGGAAGGGAGAGCGGCGTGGGAAGCACAGCGTGAGCTGGAGGCCGGGTGAGGGCTGGCAGCAGGACACCACAGCCCCTTGCCCGTCAGGGGCAGGAGGACTTGGTCGTGGCGGCACTCCTGTGCTGGGGGTGTTTCAGGCCCTTTCCCCCATGCCCAGATCCCAAGCAGCCACCGGTGCCTTTGAAATGCTGCAGGGCCCCATCCTGTCCCCATAGGTACGAGGAAATCCAGCGGGCGCAGGAGGAGCTGGGCACTGGCATGGTGGAGGTGGCAGCGGAGGCCAGGAGGGCTCTTGCCACCATCCAGCAGGCAAACGCAGGACATGGCCGAGAAGCTCCTGCAGGCGGCTGCCCCAGGGCAGGTGAGCAGCACCCAGCTCCCACCGGGGAGCAGCTCAAGGCTCCTGCTTGTATCCCTGCCTAATTCTTCCTCCCGGGCTGGGAGATGCCCTCATGGAGCCGATGGGACCTGTCGCCTCGCAGCAGGCACTGATGGCACAGGTTGGAGCCCTGGTGCAGGACCTGGGGGTGCTGGAGCAGGCGGTGGGCACGCAGGAGCTGTCGGCGCAGCGAGCCATCGCGGCGTCCCGCACCCTGGCAGCTGGGCTGCGCCGGGACCTGCAGGGGACTCGTGGCTTCACGCAGGTAATCGCTGCTCACCCGCGGGGGATGTCCTCGTGAAATAAGCCATGGGGACCCCCTGTGCCAGGGGGGGCTGTGGGCACGCAGGGTGCATCCCTCTGCTGCCTCCCACCCGGGGAACGGGGGCTGGGGAGCCCCAGCCCCTCTGCTGCAGCAGTGGGTGTTTTGGGACCCATAAAGAGCTGGGCGCAGCTCTTTGTCCCTTCCCCAACCTCATTTGTGTCTCCAGCTGCGGGACCGAGCTGGCTCTGCCCGCAGCCTGGCCACCTCGGCAGTGTCACGAGGGAAAGCTGCGCTCTCCGGCACGGAGTCCCTCCTGGCCAGCTTGGAAGGTAAAAGGCTCCTGCCAGAGCACCCCTGGTCACAGCCTGGCTCTTGCTGTGCTGGGAGCCCGAGGAGAGAAAGGGCTGGATCAGTGATGGGGTCGGGGTGTTCCCTGCAGGCATGAGGAAGGTGCTGGGGCATCGGAAGGGCCAGGCTGCCCTGAGCAGGAGGATGGCGCATGTGCGGGACAGGACGATGGTGGAGGCCCAGAAGAAGATCAAACAGGCAGAGAAAATGCTGGGAAACTCCTTGTCTGTCTCCACCGCAGCCAAGGGGACAGCTGGGGAGGCCAAGCAAGTCGCTGGGGAGAGCACTAAGGTCTGAGCGGAGGGATGTGATGCGGGGAGCAGGACCCCCTGGGTGTCCCCAGGTGACTGTCCCCATCTCCGTCCCTTTGCAGAGGGCACAGGCTGCTGCTGCGGGGCAGCAAGCAGGCTCACAAGCAGCCGTGCAGCTCGCCATGCGTGCCAATGAAACCCAGCGGGAGCTCGCCCGGCAGGAGCGCATGGCTGAGGAGCTCAGGGGGGGCCTGGAGGAAGCAGAGCAGGTGAGCCAGGTCCCCTGGGGCTGGCTGTGTCCTCCTGTCTCCAGCCAAAGCCAGGAGGGGTTTGTCTGCAGCCCAGAGAATCGGGATCAACAAAGCGTGGGGAACGCCTTGGGGCTGTTTCTGGGATCTGGCTAAGGGTTATCTGTGCCCCTGATCCTGGTGTCTGTGTTGCAAGGTGGGGACAGAGGTGAGTGAGATGGCCAAAAGCCTCCAGGAAGCCCGGAGCTCGCTGATGAAGGACATCAAGACCCTGAACGACCTGCTGAGCAGCCTCGGTGAGACCCTGCGCGAGCGGGTTTGGGCCCCCTGTTGGGCTTGGGGTCAGCACTGTCCATCTGTGCTGGATGCTCCACGCTGGAGATAGCTCTGGGTTTTGGCAAAGCTTCTTCAGGGGTCGTGTCAGGGAAAGCCCTTGTGCAGAACAAACCAGGGGTTGCTGAGCAAAGCAGGATCAGAGCAAAGTGCTCGTGCCTGGTGTGGGGATGCTGATCTCCCTTGGCATCTCCAGGAGGAGCAGGCAGGCTTAAAGGGTGGAAAGCATCACACACACGTAAAGGAAAGATGTGCTTGGGCCCTGCCTGGAGCCACAAACCAATTTTTTTTTAACCTGTGATCACTGGAAGCCGCCCTACCTCCATGCCCCGCTGCACCCACTCCCTTCCACCTGCCTCCTGCCAAGGGTCAGATCCCTTGGAGCAGGACCAGCCCCTCTCCTGCCCGGCTCTCTGCCTCTCACCCGCATCCTTCCCCTCATCCAGGCGACCTGGAGCAGGGCACGCAGGTGGAGGCGGCGCTGGGAGCAGGGAGGCTGCAGCTGGAGAAGCTGCGGCTGCGCCTGGCCGCGCCGGGAGCCCTGGCCCAGCGGCTGAGCCGGTTGCAGCAGGAGGCGGCGCAGCAGCAGGAGAAGATCCAGGCCTTCGAGAGCGACTTGGCCGAGATCCGGGCTGACAAGAAGAACCTGGAGGACATTTTGCGGAGCCTCCCCGAGGGCTGCTCCGAGTGGCAGTGACAGGGCGCTGGCTGCTGCCCCGACACCCCCCCCCCCAGTCACCTCTGTGCCCCCCTGCAATAGGGACTGGCAGAGCAAAGGACACCTGCCCTCACCAGCATCGCTCCCTCCTGCTGCTCTGCATGTTGCCCTCGGTACAATATCACCCCCGGGTACTCACCCACACTGGTTCCGACTCAGCATCCCGAGTGATCCTCAGCATCCTGAGCTCTCAGGAGGGCACACAGCTTGCCGGCTTCCCAAGAGCAGGGAGCTCGCAGCAGGGAGAGCAAAAGTGGGGCTGAGCAGAAGCAAAGCCGGGCCCTTAACCTGGCAGATGGGGGCATCCTCTGCCTGTTGCATCCTGCTGTTGGTGCCGGATGGGGAGCAGCTGGACACGGCCAGTGCCTGCTGGTGTCCCTCCCACTGCATGGCACGGAGGTCAGTGGCTGTGTTGCCTGTAAAGGAAAGGCATCCGGGTGGTTCACCCTGCCATGCGTGGGCTGCTCGATGGGACTGGGCAGGCAGCGGAGCTGGGTTCAGCTCCCCCCCCTGCGCTGGTGGTGCTGGCACAGCAAAGTCACGCCTGTAAGGTCAGAAGCGAGTCCCCCGGCTGGAGCACAGTTCACTTTTTAACTCGCTTTACCTGTGCTCTTCCACTCACGGTGCTGGAAACCAGGCTTGCTAAAGTCTTGTGTAACGCTCTTTGTAAAACCGCTGCCACAGACCTTCTCTCTGTGCCATCTCCTGTGGGTCCAGGGCTCTGGAAGGGATTTTCCTACCCGAGCAAACCTATCTCCCTCCTACCTGCACAAAAGCTGAGTTGGGGTGCCCGAGCTGCAGGAGGGCAGTGGTGGGGGCTCCTCTCCTACAGCCCGCTGCCAGCTCTGCAAAAGCAAAGCCAGGAGGCAGCGAGAGCAGCGTGAGGCGGCTGGGCCGAGAGGCAGGGAGCCGCAGCCGCTCACCACCTCCCTGGGAAGACAATTACACGCCATGATCATCACACACAACAGAAATGTCAAGCCTCTGCCTCGCGCCTGCTGCTGAAAACGCAGCATCCTCCCTCCTGCTCTTCCTGGAACTGATTTTTTTTTTAATTTTTTTTTTATTTATTTTTTTATTTTTTAGCTGGTGACGCCTGCCTAGAGCTGTATCCGCTAAAAATCCCGAATATAGCACACAGCTGCCCATCCACCTGCGTGTGAGACAGCGGGAGGACTGCAGGCTGGGCCCGTGCTGGCTTTCAGCGCAGCTGAGCTGGGGTGCTGGGGCTCCTGAAGCACTGGGTTGCCCCCAGTTGGGCTTCTCAGACAACAGCTTATTTATTTTATTTATTTATTTATTTTATTCGGCTGGAATAACACCCCTGGGGTAGAAATAACACCTCCTGGGCCAGAATAACGACCCCCCTTGGCAGAGTGACGACCCCCAGGGCCAGAATAACGCCCCTTAAAACAGAATAACGCCCCCTAAAACAAAATACCACCCCCAGGGAGCACTGACACCCCCCCCCGACCCCACTGCAGGACGCCTCCAGGGAGCCCCGAGGGGCTTCGGGTGCCCCCCCAGGACCGCTGAGGAGCAGCCCCCCGACCACGTCCCGCCCGTCGGGGCCGCAGCCGTCGGCTCCCCGACACCACAGGAGACACCCCCCCCGGCTACCGGGCTGGCTTCCCCAAGGGGAAAAAAGCCTGAGGTGACCCTTGGGGGGGATAGAAGGGGTTAAGGGCGGGGGCGGGGGCCCGGCCCGGCCCTACTTAAGGCGGCGGCGGGCGCGGGGCGGCTCTGTGAGATGGCGGCTCCGCGCCGGCCGAGCGGCGGGGGGCTGAGGAGGGCGCCTCAGGACGGGCGGCTGGAGGAGATCAACAAGGTGGGGAGGGGTCGGGGAGAGGGAGAGGAGGGTGAGGAAGGTGAAGGGGGGCGAGGAAGGTGAAGGGGGGCGAGGGGAGTGAGTGGGGTGCCCGCTCTGTAAGGGGTAGGTGTTCCCCCCCCCCCCGCTCGGGGGGTGTTGGGTGTGGGGTGAGGGAGGTGTATGGGGGGTTTGGGGGGCCTGCGTCCACTGTGCTTGGGGGATTTTGGGGGTCTGTGTCCCCTCTGCCCGCTCCTCCAGCTCCATGCGGTGCTGTCCAGGCAGTTCTGCGTGCCTGTGGGGCTGGGTGCTGTGGAATTCCCCTGGGGAAGGCACCCCAGCAAGAATGGGTGCCCTTGTTCTCCCAAAGGGCTTCGCCCTCCTCTTTGCCGTGTCCACTGCCTCAAGTTCCCCTCTCAGGAGCCAGGAGCTCTCCAGACTCGCTCTGCTCTTCAGCCACAGCAGGACCCGTGAACACACAAGGGAACACGGGGCTCTTGGGTGTCCCCCAGCCTTGGGCAGGGGATCGGTGACTCCTGGCACAGAGCAAAGGGGTCTGGGCTGCCTGCCCCCGCTGCACGTCCAGCCCGCAGCTGGAGCTTGGCACGGATCGTGGAGGTGGCTCTGTTGGCGACCCTCCTGGTTAAGAGTTGTTCAGGGGGTGAAAAAAAGGCTTTAACCTCAAAACTATCAATTATGGGGCTTCTAGGGTCACTTCTTGGTGGGTTTGGTGAGCCCTTGGTGGTACAGCTGGTGGCCTCGTGGTGCTCCAGGTGGAGAAATCAGAGGCACACAAGACGGGAGCCCTGAGGAGGTGGTGGGCTCCTTGTCCTTGTGTTAACAGGGGCAGCAAAAAGTGTTGGTATGCACGCCCAGCGGGGTGAGACAGCCGAGGTGGAGGCTATGTAGGTCACTGGGGAGGGAATTAGGTGATTAGAAACCAGGAGGTGCTGCCGTAGAACGGGAGCACTTGGCTAAAAAGGGGCTTTTCAAACAGGCTGCTCGGAGCAGGTGGGATAGGTGCCCCACAGAGGGGAGGTGAATGGGCCCGAAGTGTCCCTACAGGGGACAGCTTCCCCTTGGGTTGGGAGGAAAGGGGTGTGCATGTACCTGCTGCTGGGAGCAGCCATGGGGTGAAACAGCTCCCACCTCCCTCCGACACCGAGCTGATGCACGGACCCAGGCTGACAGCGTGCCTGGAGCCTGGGAGGGGGTTTCCTAAGCCCTGACCAGCCCCAGGACTGCAAACTAATAAAATACTCAGAGTGCAAACTAATCCCAAAGCCCACATTCCTATCGGGTGTCATCTCGTTGTCTCATCCCAACATCCAGCTCCTTCCCAGCCCTGTTTTCCTGGCCGCTTTCTCCCCCTGAGCTCTGTGGGATGCGGGTGTTTGGCAGGAAATGTCCAGAGTGCACACACGCTGCTCCAAGACAGCTGAGCCCAGGATTGAATTTTCATTTCCAGCCTGAAGCTCTCCTCTGGGAACCCCTCTTGGCCATTCCCTCCCTTCCTGGGGAACGGCGATCACATTGCTCTGCCTCGTGCATCAAGGTGGTGAGCGTAATCCAGCACAGATTAGTTTCAACCTGGCTTTACCCTCTAACGCACGGGGCTGCAGGGAGCTCAGCCTGCGGGAGAGCAGGTGCCTGCTTCTTGCACCCAGGGCAGGCACGGACATCCCTCAGCCACTTCACAGCCTCTGCAGGCTGGGCGGCTGCCCTCGGGCACCTAAACAGCCTGACCAGAGCCTGGTCCCCCCATCAGAGCCCTTTAGGGGGTGAGGAAGGGTCTCCTTTGCTCAGGTTGTTTTACAGGTAGCTGAGAATCGCGTAGCTGCATTTGTTGGCCTGGAAAAGTCTCTTTCTCCAAGAAAGAGAAGAAGCAGGGGAGAGGCCGGGGCTTATTTTTAAGCAGTTCTTATTATAGAACAAGCCCCTTAAAATGGGAGCATTAGCAAAGAAAGGGCTCTGGGAGGACCTTCGGCCGCTTGGGCAGTGGCTGAGTCACAGGCCCTGGGGACCGCATTCCTGCGCGTTCCTGTGAGCGCTGGCCTTATCGCAGGGCAGCTCGCATACAATGCCAGGGTGGAATGGCCTTTGAAATACATCCCCCTGCTGCTTCCTTCAGCTCGGAGCAGCTGCAGCTCCTGTGGGTGAGGTGCAGGGGGTCTGGGTGCTGGGTGCGTGCCCGGTGTCACCCCTCCTGCTCTGCACCGTGCTGCCAGACCCCGGGCACGTGTCCCCAGCCATCCCGCATGGGTGCAGCCTTCCCTTCTGCTCTCCTGTCCCCTGTCCTGCAGCTCTCTGCTGTTTTTGTGGGGTGAGAATGAGGCCACGACCTGGTGATGTTCTGGCTCAGTTCTGGTGCTCAGTGGGATTTGGCAAGTTCCCTTTGCAGTGGCGGTAGGTAACGCGACTCTGCTCTCCGGTGACTTCTGCGGCTGGCTGAGCCCCGGCCTCAAAGCCCAATTGTGCCTTTGTGCAGGGCTGGCACTTGATACCCCTGGGTAGAAAGAGCTGAGATAAAGGAAAGCGAGTTCACCAAGGAGAGTGAAAGAAGGAACTGGGAACATTGCTTCTCCCCACGGCTCTCAGCTTGAGTTGGTGCCCGTGGTGACAAGGGAAGCCTGTGTCATGCCAGTTTACTTGGGGGGGGTCTCTGGTGGCCCGTCAGGAGGGGCTGACACTTGTGTCCAGGTGGGCTTCCTACCTTGGCTTGGCTGCACAGAAAGGATTTGGTGAAGGGTGGGCTGCGGGTGGTCTCATTACCAGTAAGTGGTGCTGCCCCAGTACTACCAGTGCCGGAGATCCTCATCTCCTGGGGACCCCATCCTGCCTTTGTGAGCACAAATAGCTGGTGAGAAACAAAGGCACTGAGCAGGAAGCAGCCTCAGCCCTCTCCACCGCAGCCCCCGGAGGGGTTTTGTGCCGGACAAGCAGTGCCTGAGCTGTGCAGATGTTAATGATTTCTGCGCTGAAGAATGCGGTGTTGTTGCTGAGCACAGACCGAGGCGTTGCACTGCGCGGGGCTGGGAGGTGTGGGAGGGCAGGGGCAGGACCCAGACCTGCTGCTGCTGGCTGCAAGGGTGCTGCTGGCAGGGTACAGTGGCGAGGCTGACCCTGCAAGCTCCGTTCTCATGGGTACCTGATGGGTTTTGAGGTGGAGTTAGGAACAAGTGACCAAAACTGACCTGGGATTTCCTCCCCAGCCTGAGCAGAGCGATGGGAGGAATGGACAGATAGTCTGAGAAAGGGGGAGCCCTGCCCCTTCCCTCAAAATACAAAATACCTGTCCTCTCCTGGCTGTATGACATCCTACAAACTTTGCCTGCTCTATTTGCCAGCCCTGAGTTCACCTGAGAGTTTAAAGTCTCTGAAATGAGTGCTTTTTGCAAGGAATAGGAGTCCTTGGTGGGTTTGGGTGCCTGGCCCTTGTGCTGGGCATGCTTGAGCAGAGGTTGGGGGGCTGAAACCTCGGGTGAGCAAGGAGGGGTGCCGGGGGGTGTCATGCAGTTATTGAGGCCTGGTGGGGTTTGACCCATTGGAAGTCTCCTGGCACTGAGGAGTAGATATGGCCCTCTGGGATTTGGGTAGGTGGTCTGGGTAACGCTGTTTCCTTTCTTTAACCTCGGGAATACTTTTACTGTTTTAGGAATTCCTCTGTGACCCGAAGTTCAGTGATGAAGAAGACCTGGAGGAGAAGCTGGCGGTGTTCAAAGGTGAGAGCTGGTGGTCAGGCAGCCTGGTCGCTCTGGACACGTTATTTCCCTCAGCACTTAACTTCTTACCAGCCTGAAGTTTTCTGCTGAGTAAGTCATACGGGACGGAGCCGAGACAGAAACCTTTCCCTTGCTTGTGGAACTTGATGAAACTCCCCAGG